AATACTGGAATAAGGATTAATTATGTTGTCCAATATTGACTTTGGGAGTTATTTTCACACCAAAAAATATGAAAAGGGACTTTCTACTGGGGGGGGACAAAATTGCCGACTGGGGGGGCAGTAAGGGGGGCTGGGGGGGCCATGTCCCCCCAGTCTTTATGTTAAAAGAGGCCCTGAGCTTGACTTAAGTACTAATTGGATGTACTTTTTAGCATAGAACACGAGTAGAACAAGATCATGACAAGATACTGTACTCTGTATTATAATCACCACTGCAACCATTTGCACATTTGTGAATCACGATTACTTGCATACAAATCGACATTTTTCATGACATTCAAACATGAGGTATGTTAATACATGCATGCAACCTTGTGGCAAATTTGGAATGAGAGATAAAACGGGAATAAATTAACCTCCGCCCTGGCTACATGTACCTCTAAATCCAAATTTGAATTTTTAGTAACAATCGAAGAAGCTCAGTCCTAATTCCGCTCGTTTCAAGTTACACTTTTACCTTTGGAATATTTGGAAGATTTTGTTCTGTATTTGCTCTAGGATACTCCGCCCTAATGCAACGCACGATGTCGGGGTATGTGGAGATCTTTGTTCCTGTACCGAAAAAGTGCATGGGTATTATTATCGGAGCTGGAGGGAGAAATATAATACAAATTAAACAGGAGACACAAACGAGGATTACATCTTGTAGAGAGGATAACTTTGGGAGTGAATCTGGTTTTAAAGTCACTGGCACTACAACTTGTTGTGAAGCAGCGCGACTGGAAATACAACGTCGCATAGTAAGTATCAGTATCTTATACACCTATCTTAGTGATAATTTAACTAAGCGGGGTAGAATCTGGTCTAAAATCAAACGCGTGATCAGAAAGTCGACCTTGTGTGTCACCTTTATACTATACCGGAAGTACTTCTTGCCGATGTTTGGCGATGTTCCATTTCTGCCACCATTTGGAGAAATTTTCGCACTTGATGACAGGTTCAGAGATTGGTTGGAGGAGAAGAAGAAGAAGAAAAAAAAAATCTTTCGGCGTTTCTTGCATGTTTGCCTCATTCGTATCTGGTACTGTACATCTTTATTGTATTGACCAGTCGGATCCATTGGCAGTTTCGAAAACTTGGCCCATTCAGCCATCGTCTGCTTATCTCTTCGCTACAAATCCCTTGGGTTGGACAATAAACCACTAATGGGATAAAGAATTGCTTTGAATTTCAACACAAACGACACAAACGACATTATAGCTGTGGGTTTGACTAGATTAACCTTGAACAATAAGATGTGAGATTACTTGCATTGCAATTTTTGACAATAACTGCAGCCGAACTCCTATCGGGTAGAAATTAAAATATGTGCAAGTTGACAACTCAGAATTCGACGTTTTTTCAATTTCACCGACTGAGACGCGTCCGTATGTTTTGCTGCTGGCGATTCTTTGGTGAACAGATCTTTGATTTTAAATGAGACTTTGTCTTCCTCTGGGGTCCATACAGTTCCAAGGACAGTTCAAAGGATCATTTCAGGGAATTTCTTCATTTAATTGTTTCTTTACAATGAATGCATTCGCTTCTTTCGTCGAACAAGCAGAGCCTCAGATGTTGTCGACATATGCGTTCTTGCTCATTGATTAGGCGTTTTTAGGTGAATGGCGATTAGTACGTGCAGCGGCGCCGCCGCAAATTTTTTTCCGTAGACAGTCGGACGCATCATTCATCCTCGTTCAGGCCTCTGCGCGTACGTTATCGATGAATCCCTTCGTAACCAACTGGTGCACCATATATCCATCACTACACGTTGTTCTATTTTGACCACGTGTAGATAGATGAACGATTTGCTTCACGATGCCATGGTAAGTCTACAAACATGTTTTTCTGGTTCCGAAAATACTCAAGAACTGTTATTGAGAGTTAAAACTATATATAATCTCAAAAGAAAACTACGATAACTAGCGTGCAAGGAAATACTGGAAGATTCAAAGCGACCATCAAGATCACTTTCCACAAATAGAAGTATTGCAGAATACCCGTACACTAGTATATATAGGATATTAGATGGTTGCGAAGAGATATGCATTTTATGTTCGAGTGACAAAAACAATATCTCACGAGTGAGCGCAGCCAACGAGTGAGATATTGTTTTTCACACGAGAACATAAATCCATATCTTCTCGCAACCGTTTAATGTTCTGTGTATTATATGGACTTACTCAAAGTGACAAAAATACACACAAAGACGACATGTAAATAAGCGCGCGAAAGACCAGTTTAAAAGCGATATTTTTTAAAATTATAGTGCAAACATAAGACTAGAATAATTTTTACTTATCTCATGATGTCTTTTAAATGTTTTCGTTTTATTTCGAACGTTAATTTCGTTTTAAATACGAACCAAAGACCATTTGTATTTTCGAAACAACAACAATGAAAAAGGCGGGAAATGTTATGTCATGCGTGACATACGGAAAATACGCCACTCAACTCCCGGATGTAGTGGTGTATGATTAATACGAGTGTTTTAGTTCCTAATAAAATACCCTTATCCATATAATAAAATATCATATAATATTATACCTCAAATTCAAATTGTCCAATCAGGAAGCTTAGTTTGTGCCACGTGAGCATGAAATTAATCGCGATATCACGCCTTACGTCATCAATTAGCGAGCCTGCGTTCCTTTTGACAATGTTCCACCCCATGTTCCCCGGGGAACACCACGCGGGACAACACGCATGACAACAAGATGGCCGACAAAACATAAATAGTATTAATGAGTGATGTATAATTCAATTTTAAACCTAAAACCCGGGACTTTTTCAAACCTAAAACCTGGGGCTTTGTCATTAATATACCAAACGATATGTAATTCGAAAGAAAAGCGACGACACTTGCGTTAATCCGAAAGTAAAAGATCGTATTCACGAAGGTATGTGTCAAGTTTTTAATTCTCAACTTGGAGGCTTTTAATTTTCGGTATAATATATTATTTATAGACCTTCCGCTCGGGGGATTCGGCGAAATATTACCCTCAGTGATGATATTTCCCTCGGGGCAAAGCCTCTCGGGAAATATCATCACTTCGGGTAATATTTCGCCGAATCCCCCTCGTTCCAGGTCTATAAATGATAAATGTAGCCCGGCCACTATTTCACTGGATACGTATATGCCAGATCTTATTTCCTCGTTCTAATATACACAAACTAATTACTAAGACAATATTACGAATTGATACTACAAAGAAATATCATCCAAGACTTTTACGCCCGTATTCTAAAAGCTCACTCACACTCAATGAGTGGAGGTTCAATCTGAGCTTCTATTCAGTGTCAATGCTGTTTTTGAATAGCTTGAGGGTTAGTGTCGTACCTTACTGTGTGACACTCACCCTCCAGCTATTCAAAATAGTGTGAGTGTGATTGAGTGTGAGTGAGCTTTTAGAATACAGGCGTTAATGTTTATAATATTATATTTAGTATGGTTTATAATATAATTTTTTTTCTGCCAGCGGCACTAATTAATCATAATCTGTCAAACACCAATGTCCGGTTGTGAGGAACATATTTACATGTTACACCACATTTAAGCTCTCTATAGCATGAGCATTTAATATATTAATGCTAACTAACTGTCGCCTTAATCTCAAAATAACTACTTGACTGCGTACCGGGTATGCACAAGAATGTAGAGCTACCCTTTAACACTATGACAATTTAATCTATTAATGCTAACTGAAGTCACTGTATGCCCCGCAGCTACCTTTACCACCAGTCCACCATGGGATTTTAATCTATCAATCTATTTATTATTAATCTATTCAGTGGCGTAACTACTATGGGCTCAGACCGGGAGAACCCGGGGGCCCCCAACCCAAATGGGGGCCCCCAGGCTTAGGCGATAGAGCAAAAACATTGGTCAGGGCCTCTGATATGTTACAATGACGTTTTATGACCATCCGAATTCTGTAAAATCTCTCCCCAAAGTCCAGGAAATGGCATTTCAGAGAGTCTAGATTCAAAAATTTTCCGGATGAACATGCCCTGGACCCCCTAGAAAACTCGTGCATATACGGCGCTCGACTCGTGCCTTTGGTACTTCTACTAGGGGGGCCTTCGAAAATTTTGAACCGGGGGCCCCCTGATATAACGTTACGCCACTGAATCTATTGAGAATAAATATAGATGTGTTAATACATCGTATCCAAAATGTTTGAAAGCCATAGCTTAAAAAATGGACGGGTATTCTGCAATCGCTCCAAAAGAGTTGCAAAAAACAGTTACAAAAGCAAAGAAAAGCAAGTGGGAATGGCGAATATAACTTAATAAAATATGTTGGATGTCATCACCACACAAGATACGAAGCCACAATGTGTCCTGCTCAGATTTTGACATCTCAACCAAGCAATACAATATTTTGAAATCACCAATTGCGTGCGCAAGACACACTGGGAAGGCGCGTGTAATAAGAAGAGTATCCGCTGAATGTTTTGTTTAAGGGCGCGGGTCAATGATGCGTCCGACTATCAATCACTGAGCTATAGTATTACTGGAGGACGTGCGCATGTTCGGCATAAAAAAGTGTCGCCAAAAACATAGCGGATGTCGGCCTTTGCTGACGCCAGAATCACGCGATGTGGTTCCTTTTGCTCATGCAATTACCACTGAACAAGGCTCAATTTTGAGCCCGCTACAATTTTCGCCACCCCTGGTTTTTGCAAAAATATTTTGTTGTTTTTGCAGTCGTAGTTTTGGAATTTTTTACATAATTTTTGGACTTCGACTATTTTTTCAAAGACGTGCAGTTTGTACAAGTTATCCTTATTTGCTAAAGACAATAAACCTAGAGAAATATCGGCAAAGACGATATTTGAAGCCAGTTGAGACGAGCTGAGAGCCTCGGACAGGGGTAAATAATATTTCACAGTTCAGTGAGTGCACATTCTCAAGAACCTGAAAAAAGCTGAAATACTGTAAATATTTCGTGAAAAATTGGCCTTCTTCGTGGGATATGATTATATTTAAATACGATGGATAATGCTTTATTTTAGTCACGAGTATTTAAAATTTTGGTTATAGAAAATACGTCGACTTTATAATATAGTTTCATTTATTTTTATTAAATATGGCTGATATGTTATAAATGGTTGCAATTTCACATGCTGCTATTAGTGCTATACGCTCTTTTGTGTCTTGATAGTGTTTTGGAAATTTTAAATTTCCTGCAAGCAGTATGCAAGCAGTATGAAACCATGTAAATTGTGTTATTTACTGTAAACTTACACGGTGTTTTTGTGGGGAATACAATGTGATGTCATTTGTGGGAAGACACATTTCAGCTAATGTGGAACACAAATGGCAATATAGTCGCTGCATATCTTCTCTGAAAGATTTTGATAAAATTTCAATGAGGGGGTTGACACCTCATTTTTACCAAAGTTAGTAGGACATTGCCCAGTGCCCACTCTTTGCCCCACTTAATCCCTCACTTTGAATTCAAGTCAGTAAATTCAAAAAATGAATTTTCAATATTCTCTAACAGGCCTACTAGGTATATTCTGATGAATCACAATATTTGACGAAGACTATATATATAACAATTTTACCAATGACTTCTCCCATATTTTACTGATCAGAATGCCGTTTTCTGATTATATCAACAATCTCAGCAGAAAATAGGGGTGCACAACCCCCTGCCACACACACAAGGTACACCCTGGATTAAGCTATATTGTGCTTCAGGTAGCCTTGGCTTAAAATTCTGAATCTTCTTTGTGTATTTCTCTTTGTCATTTCACATGCTTTTTTCTTTGTAAAATTATCCCACATTTATTACACAGTACACAGCTGAAGTAATTTAATTTAGCTTTTTCAAAGAATAATAATGACAATAAATAATTTAAATTCTAAACTGTTCTAATAACTTTGTTGCCCCCCCATTGGCTATGACTAATTTGCTCTGCTGTTCATCTTCAAACTTCTAATGGTACTACTGGTCCTGGCCAGTACACCACCACTCTTGCTATTTGAACCTCCAAAGCCCTTGTGTTTCATTCTTGCCCACACTAAAGTATCAACCTAAATAAGAAACGTGAGTAAACTTTATATTGTAGTTAGCTAGTCTATCATTGTGAGATTAATTCAGACAGAATATCGGACCCCTCACTGCAGGACATAATAACAACTGAAGGGGAAGGGTGTTAATTCACTTGTAAATTCCTCTTTTTCGGAAGTGCGAATGTATTGCGGAACGACCCATCACTGCTTGGGTCCTCTTTGTATGTGTTGAGGATATCACCAAAACATTTACTTGTATTGCAGAGGTGGTATATGCACAGAATAGAGATCTATTACACCATATTAAAAAAGTTGCCACATGGGCCATGGCCATACTAACACAACTCAAGCTGCTGCCCCACATATACATGACTAACTGCACACTACAAAATCTGGCAAAGACTGGCAGGTTATATTATAAAGTTAAGATACATGTAGTCAAGGGAAACTTGTTTATCAATATTAATATACAAAATAAATCCAGAGCTTACTAATTGCTTACAATGCCTATCGTAAGTGTATTAAGGGTTTTAATAATTGGTATACAGAAGGACACAAAGTATTTAAAACTACTGTAACTGGCAATAAAAACCGAGATAAAAACACAAAAGCCAGAGCTTGAAAGAAAAGCAAATTTCATACACTCAAATTTTTTAGCCATCTGAAAAGTGTTTAAAAAATACATCTTACCTGAAGAAAATACTGTTCGTTTATAGCGTATTGTAGCATCCACAAGCGGATCAGAAAGGCATTTTTTCCTCGACCTTGTAAAACAAGCAAAGTAGGGAAAAAATATTTTTAGCTCGAAACCAAAAATCATTTATCGAAAATCCAGGGGGGTGAAAGACACGTGAAAGCTTAGGATCGCGGTTTGTCAGTGGTAAATGCCATTGCCAAAAGGAACCAGATGGCGTAAGCAAACTTGAAAATCAGCCATGTTTTTGGCGACACTTGTTTGATAGACGGAAGATAGGAGCAGCTCCTCCAGTAATATTATAGCTCAGTGCTATCAATGAGGAGTCGTCGCCAGCTCGATAATTGGGGGGTGGGGCGACCACAGACCATAAAAACAATCGATTTCAAAAGAAGTTAATAATGCAGAACACGAAGATATGAATATTCGCCCCCCCCCCCACCCCCAATTGTCGAGCTGGTGGCGCCACTGAGTACGTAGCCTGTAAGCGCCGTATATAGGAGAACAATATTGAGCTCGCCTAATACTGTAAGTGTTATAGTTGATAACTATTATTGGTTTTTTATCCAAATGTACAGTACATTATATCTAAGATATCTGTGTGTATCTATTGAGAAAAAAAGAAGCCATACGTGTGACAGGGAAGAAATATTTTTACGACGAATATCGTGCAGCGTATATCGTACTGGCCAAACTTTTGAAAGGCTGAAGTATGCTGGTGAACAGCTTCGAAATCTGCGACCTACCCGCTGCCTCCCCTATCAATCTGTTATAAATCAATGTTCGATCCTCATCAGTATCTAGATTCATCGGAAAACGGGGATCGAGAGGCGGTAAAAATTAAAAGAAAAACTGAAGGATTATCGATATAGGATATCAACAATAATCAGTGACCATGACGAGCAGAATTATGCTAATCCACAGCACAAACATCATGTATCCACTCGAAGCTCGGCAAATTTACTTAGATTAAAACGTAAGGACGAATCTACTTTCGCTGCTAACGACACAGAATTTGTTCCTGGATTGATATTGTCTAATGTTATGTCATTGGCACCAAAAATCGAGGAACTTCAAGCTTCTTTGTCATCTTGTTTTACAAGTACCGATATTATTTGCATAACAGAAACTTGGTTAAACGATCGGATTTCGGACAGCATCGTCAATCTTCCTGGTTTCTCTGTCATTCAAAAGGACAGGCTCGAATATAGCCACGGAGGAGTATGCGCTTATATCAAAAATGGAATTGAATTTAAACGGTTAACGGAAATTGAAAGTGCCGACGATGAAGTGTTGTGGGTTGCAATTTAGCCAAAGCGTTTACCAAGGAAAATCAATAAACTTATTTGCGGATGAAATGTTATCACACTTCATTGACCTGGTGTCTAAGGGTGTCAACAGCATCATCCCAAAGAAGTATGTTAATTAAAGTAAGAGCCAATGAGCCTCCTTGGATCACTTCAAAATTCAAGTCCCTCCTTAAGAAACGACAAGATGGACTGGCAAATAACAATAAGGTAACATTTAACTATTACCGAAAATGATTAAACGTTATCGTAAATCATGTCGCGCAAAATATTATGAAAATAAGGTCGAGAACCTCAACGAGTCAAATCCCCGTAATTGGTGGAGCTATGTAAGTTAAATCTCTTAGTGGAATGGCTACACCTCGATCTGATATATTCGACATCTTAAAAATTCCAGAGATTGATACACAATCAACTTCGCATAACGAGATTGCCAACGTCATCAACTACCAACTTCTTCAACCAATGCAGGCGTACTCTCCCCTAATTTCAGAAGATTCTGCGAATATAGTTAGTTAAGAGTCAAGTTTTTTAACAGTTACTGAAATTTCGGTTTCAAAGACTGACTGTATACAAGCTAGCTACTAAGAGAATACGCGGAGGTTTTGGCCTTTCCTATTACCAGCATTTTAAATTCATCCTATCTCGAACAAAGTCTCCCAGATATTTGGAAGAAAGCCGATGTCGCCCCAGTACCTAAGTCGAAACCAATTAAAGACGTTTGTAAGCATATTCGACCCATCTCCCTGACTCCAATCATGTCCAAACTGGCCGAAGAAATTGGAGTGGAACTATTCGTTCCGCCTGCTATACTCTCTGTCCGTGACAAAAAACAGTTTGGTGCGATATCAGGATCATGAACGACCAATGCCTCAATTAGCATGATTGACTGCTGGTCGAAAGCCACCGACGGAAATGGAGCAACGGTACGGGTTGTACTTTTTGATTTTAAAAAGGCGTTTGATCTAATTGATCACAACCTATTGAAGAGTGAGTTTCGCCAATTAGAACTGGACAGTCGTGTAATTAATTGGTTAAAAGACTTTTTGACTAACAGATATCAAATAAATAAACTGGCTAATGACTGCTATTCAGAATGGGGCCGTGTGCCATGTGGAGTTCCACAAGGCACTAAGCTCGGCCCTTGGCTTTTTCTTCTAATGATCAACGATCTTGCTGTTCCTAATGCAAACCTATGGAAGTATGTTATGATACAACAGGAGCGGTCAGCAATATACAAGAATAAGTACACCATACCAACAACTGGTCTACTTTCAATAATCTTCACCTTAACCTTGACAAATGTAAAGAACTTCAGGTCTCTTTTAGTAACAAAGTAGCCATTTCCAACCATTATCATTACCACAATGTACTCGAACAATGTAAACAATGTATCACGTAGTTATACCTTTCGCCGAATATAACTTCAGCCCCTTTCAACCTATTTTTTTTGTAATAGTATTGTTCCAATCACGATCCATGACTCTATTTAGAGTGTTATTTTCAAGTTTGTATCTGCAGATTTGCATCTTTCATTTCGGTATTTCAATGAAACAGTGCGATGTTTATAGCTAATTAGCACTTGAGAAACGTCGGAAATCGAGGGGAAATCGATTCTAAATGTCAAATTACCCCTGCAGGTGATTTGCACGTCCTTCGGGCTATACGGGTGCTATTAAACCCAATATATTGAAAAATTCAAAACAAATATTTCTAGTCGCCGTATTCAAACGAAACATTCTACACAAATTAGCGCTTGAATACAAGGATTGAATAGTAGAGAAGTAGATAGGGATACAGGTTGTCTGGACCATATAAATACAACCAACCGTGTTTAGCTCAATTCTGGGAGATCGAGTCGATGGAAATTAACGAGGAGGAAGTGACCAAAGAAGAGTTTTTGAAGGATATTTGATATCTCGAGAATGAAGCAAGATACGAAGTTAGTTTCCCATGGAAGAATGAGAGTATTCCGAAATCGAACGGATACGGTATGTGTTTGAAACGACTCCATCAACTCAAGTCTCGTCTCGATAAAGACAAACAATTACTCGAACAATACGACAACACATTTAAGGATCAAGAGAAAAGCGGTATCATAGACTCCGTAGTTGAACCTGGAGAAGCTAGCCATTATTTACCTCACCATGGAGTGATTCGCCAAGACAAAGAAACAACAAAAGTTAGAGTCGTGTTTGACGGTTCCGCAAAACCTTCAAAAAATGATCTGTCGTTGAATGATTGTCTCCAAAAGGGTCCAAATTTAGTTCCGCATCTATTTGATACTGTTGTAAATTTCAGAGGTTATCCCATCGGACTTGTTGCTGATTTCAAGAAAGCCTTCCATCAGATACAAATTGCTCCTGATAATAGGAAGATGTTGAAGTTTCTCTGGTTTGAAGATATTAGTCAAGATCCCTGGACCCTCAAAGAATACGAGTTTCGACGTCTGCCATTAAATTTTGGTCTAACCCCCAGTCCTGCTATCTTATCCAGCACCATATCCCATCATCTTTCAAGATACAAGGAAATTGAACCAAAGATAGTCTCATTGTTGCACGAGTCTCTGTACGTTGATGATTTCGCCGGTGGAGCTTATGATGATGATGTAGCCTTACATATCTATCGCACATCTCACGATCTAATGAACAAAGGTTGGTTCAACCTTCGAAAGTGGCATTCGAATTCCGCCTCCATACGAGATTTCATCGCAACCCAAGAAGACGCAAATGGAAGTGTGAAAGACGAAGTAACGAACGCGAATTTAGAATCCACTTATCACAACGTCGGTGTTGACGCAGAAGCACCTAAAGTCGACGCCTCTTTACCATGTTCATCATCGCAAGATTCTTCAGTATCGAAAAGCAATTGCGTTAAGATTCTCGGGATTAATTGGAACGAGGACATTGATGAATTTTGTTATGACCTCGGCGAATTAGTTGAATATGCGAAATCCCTTCCCTCAACTAAACGATCAGTGTTAAAGCTTTCCGCCAAAGTATTCGACCCCATCGGTCTTTTCGCTCCATTTACAGTTACCATGAAAATGTTGTTTTAGACACTGTGTACCACCAGCGTGAATTGGGATGACGAGTTAGATGGCAAAGCATTAACAGCTTGGAAATCTCTCGTAAAAGATTTACAAGCCCTGAGTGATATACGAGTACCACGATGTTACTTTCAACGTCTAAACAAACTGTTTCGAACGCACGAGATTCACGGTCTTTGTGATGCGTCTGATCTCGCGTTTGCGGCAGTGGTGTATCTTCGCACATCATACAGCAATGGAGATATCGAAGTGAATTTGATTGCATCCAAAACACAAGTTGCGCCTATCAAAAGACAGACTATACCACGACTTGAACTGTTAGGAGCAAATATATTAGCACAATTGGTCGATTCCATTATTCAAGCACTCACGTCGATTAAGGGAATTGCCGATGTTGTTTTATGGACGGACTCGTTCACCACATTATGCTGGATCCGAAACCATAAAGCACGGAAGACGTACGTCCAGAATCGAGTAAACGAAATCAGAGAGTTAACAAGCAACTACGAATGGAGATATTGCCCAGGGGAATTAAATCCCGCTGATTTGCCTTCTTGAGGATGCTTGGGACGTGAACTCGCCGAAGCTGAAACGTGGTGGAACGGTCCTCAAGGAGTCTAAGGATCAATGGCCAGTTGTAAAGAGTAAAGACAACGACGAAGCTTACAATGAATTGATGAAAAACCCGCATCCAATTGTACATTCCTTGTCTGGAATATCGTTAAATGGTTCTGTCCATATTGAGAGAATTCTCGATCCTCAGAGATACAGCACGAAGACTAAGTTACTTCGCGTCACAGCATATTAATCCGCTTCATAAAGAAGTCCAGAAAACAACCGTGTACAATTTCACATGAAGTAAACGCTGATGAATTAAAAGAATCCGAGAAATTATGGATCCGTAGTATTCAGTCGACAGACTTTGCCGAGGAGATCGAATGTATTCACAATCGTTGTATGAACTCACGAGTTAAACAGCTTGGTTTATTTGTCGATGACGATAAGATTATCCGTTGTGACGGTCGAATTGGCACTCCACGATGCCTGACGATAAAAAAAGCAAACCAATCCTTTTGCCCCCAAAGCATGAATTTACCAGGTTGATCATTCGCGAAGCTCACGAGTTAGTACATCACGACAGAATTAGAGAAACTTTAAATTGCGTTCGAAGAAAATATTGTGTTCTACGTGGTCGAGAGAGTGTTACAAGAATGGTAAGAATGGCAATGGCGTGTAATTCAATGACGACGGCCAATACAACATTTAATTCCTCTGGAGCTGAAATTGAGTCCAGATACAGAGAACGACGTGCCTGCCGCCAGCTATTGAAAGTGCACCAAAAGAAGAAGAATCGACCAGACAGCCACCGAGACGAACTGCAGCGGTACTTGGTGAACTTTTACGAAAGGAGATGAGATAAGTTCATTATAATCATATAGTTAAAGTATATTAGATCACTCTGGGGTGATCAACGCTGGGAGTGTAATAAACTGTGAGACATGAACAGGGTTTCGATAACATTTGTTGAACTTACTTTGAGCCTGATCGCAGGGTGTTGAACCTGTTCGCAGGCTAAGCACGTGCGATCGGCTTTACATACGGGGAATTTAGCACAAAAACAACAAGTTTTATATTATTCGATTGGACACGTATTATCCCCTAGCCAGCGGCGCGAAGCGCCGCTCAGGTACATTAATGGCTGGGTCCAAGATTGTAAATTCAAGAAAAATAGATTAAAATTTGTAAAAAATTAGTCAAGCTTTCAATTGTTACCGTTCAAGTATTATAACATTTGTCAAGACAGGGGCTTGAAGTTAAGCTACATTTCGTTGTCATGGCAACGATCACGTGACATATATTAAAGATAATAACACGTAAAATGGCTTCTTTGGCTCTGCAGCAGCATAATTCATGCTCACGATAACGCAAAATTGCGATGATCGGCCACTCCTGATACTAATGTTTATAAGTTAAACTCTGAAAGTTGACATTCATTACTCGTTTCATTGTTTTACGAGTTTATAATAAGACGGTTAGCACTATAAGACGTATAATTGACACATTAAATGGTATTCTTTTCATAAATGTACGGTTTCCACATATTCCTAAGAAACTTTGATCCCTTGTCAATGTTTTTAGTAGATAAGGCAATAGGAATACTTTAGATTTATACTGCTGCAAGCCGAACGCGTTCTTCGCGTGATATAAATAATATCCGTCGCCATCATGAAATCGCGCCAGCGCTATCGTCGGCATGGATGCAGCGGCTAAACACGATAATATTGTTATTTCCATGGTGATTTGTTTAACAACATGGCGGACAAAGCCAGAAGCAAGTTTTTATTTGGTTTTTATCTTTCTTAGCCAATTTTTGGTATTCTAACAATACATTAGCGTGCTCCAAATACCATAATTATGCCAATGACAGACGATATTACACAAAATATAACTGTGTATATATTATTTGTTTCTGTAATAAAATTAAAAGCACTTCGGTGCTATCACATATTCGCCGAGAGTAAGATTGTATGAACGTTTTGTCATATTATTTAGCGACAGATACGCACAAAAATGTATATACATTTAAGTGGCTTATCGAGTTATCACAAGATCAGTGACGCAAATCCGCAAGTTTCAAATTTTGGCGCAAATTACAAAACTTTCTACAGCTGTAAACAACGCAATCCTTAGCTCGGTAAAATCGAGTCTATTTTCTTCACTTTATATACAGCTAGTACTTTTATAATCTCACCGCATTTAAGCCAAGACGTTTCTCAATGTGTGGATCGTTCCTTCATCCTTTGACGTGCGGTTTTGCGCGAGGAGTTGCTTGGCAAGTGTCAGCGCAAGTAGACGCAGATGAAAATCTAAAGTGCGAAGAGAACGAGACGCGAAAGAATTATCTTGTGCGCTTGCTGCGAGAGAGATATGATCGCTTTACTGTCATATTCCAATGTTACAAGGAGAATTTTACCGTTGACTTCAAGCGCTTTCAGTCAATTTTTCCACCACTTCGCGAGAAATTTAGTCGATGGAATCATAGGAAGATCGCAGAACGCAATCAATACACGACGATGTTCAACATCGAAGCTTGGAATAAACTTTCCCCGGCGATGCAAGCTAAACATACATTCCAAAATTGTAAGCAATGTCAGCTGAAATACAATCACATACAAGTTTTATTTCCTACCAAATGCAAGAGGTTCACCGGCTTAATGAAGGAGAATAATCCCAAAGTCGCGAACAAAGCCATTAAAGTCCAACTGCCAAGTCAACCAGGGAGTACCACTCTCCGTGAAGCAGGTGAGACTGCAAAGTCCTTGTACGACCAGCTGAACCCCATGTTTGAAAAGATCACTGGACATTCCCTTGTTAAAGCATTGACCAAAGTAAAAGATCTCAATATTGAGGAGAAGAAGTCTAAAGCTGAAAAAAAACGAACAGTAAGAAATAATTATAGAAAATTCAAGGAAGCAGTAGAAACAGAATGGGAAAATACATCTTTTATCAGGTAAATGTGTGCAGGGCCGTACGCAGGATTTTTTCACCAGGGGGGGGGGGGGCAGTAAGGCCTAAACGCCAAAAAAAGTCCAAAATATCCAAAGAATAATTAATAATGACATTATAAATATCGAAAATATAGTTTTTCTGGAGGGGGCAGTTGCCCCCCCTGCCCTCCTCCCCGGCGGTGTATGGCCCTGAATGTGTGGGTTAATTTGGTCATTAAATATTTGGGACATGTAATATTGTAGGTTGATAAGCCCCAATGGACTGACAGCTACATAGCCTGTATACAGAAATTAATTATTGGAAAAATCTCATTTCTCAAACTTAAGATGAATCACTGGGGTCACAGAGCCTCTCATTAACCATAACCTATTAAGGCACAATGCACCCTGGTACTCAACTTTGTTATTTTATTCTGTATATAATGATGTATAGTGGAGTTTATTTGACAATTAGGGTCTCCTCTTGCACCTTAATGGGTTAATACATTTGCCTGCAATGATATGGACACATCTAATTAATCATATAAATATAATATAGGACAAACTGCCTCATTATCATTAAAAAACAACATATAAAACGAAAAATATTTCTATTTTATAGATGCTTTGGAAATAGGCAATCACTATCTGGGCGGCAAAGGGAAAGGTTGGCAATGGCTTTTGAGAGCAAGGAAGAGGCTACTGAGCGAAGTAATTTGGAGAAACTCCAAGAAAAGAAGAAAAAAAGTCCAGTTGGCAAGTTTGATAAGATGGAATGGGACCAGGAGGCAATGAAAGCTGAAGTTATGGGCTATGGTGATGGGACATTGGTAAATTGGTCAGAATTAGGACGGCGGTATGGAATTAAAAACATCAATGGAAACTTGGCACAAAATGGTGGTCAAATTGCTTTTGAATGGCTGAAATCAGAAGGAGTTGATGTGAAGAGATTTAAAAAAAGGCAAGCAGGAAATGATGCTGGAAATATCAGAAAAAGATTAAAACAGTGTGCAGGTGGTGAAATCACAGTGCCATGTCCTGAAACTAACAAAAGTGTACAAGACAAATTGAAGCAAAAGGTTTTGTCTGGTGATATTAATGTTGGAGAATTAATTGTCCCAAGAAAGGTAATTATTATTAAATTTATTTTATTAAGTTTCACTGGTGAAATGGAACAATTTGCTTAATTTGCAGTAATTGATAACTGCATTCAGTGTTCCCATTTTAATATTTATAAGTTAAACTAAATAAATATTATATATTAAATATTATAAGAACTGATCATCAGTGTGGGCACTACAATTATTAAAGTTAATTACCGTAAAGTCTCGAAAGTAAGCGCCCCCTCGAAAGTAAGCGCCTTTTTCAACACTTCCTAGAGAATCTGGAAAGTAAGCGCCCCCTCGAAAGTAAGCGCCCCCTCGAAAGTAAGCGCCCCCACCCACCCCCGAAAAAAGTTTTGTAAAGTTGTAAAACATAGGGTATATATTATAAAAGAAACTCTCTAAACCATATGTACAGTATACCATATATACTCTAGCTATAGCATGGATTTAAAAATGGCCGATATGCTGAAAATAACAACTCGAAAGTAGGCGCCCTTAGAAAGTAAGCGCCCCCTCAAAAGTAAGCGCCCCTTGAGGCCACTAATTTCGAAAGTAAGCAGGGCGCTTACTTTCGAGACTTTACGGTATATAATAAATTATTCCAGTAAGTTAATAATAATAATTAAATTATTTCTTTTCTAGTACGAGAAGCTAGTGCTCAATGATGATGGTTCTGTCAATAGGTCTGAATTTTATGTGGAAGGACGCAAATGCCCCCTCATTGAAATTCGAAAGAGAAAGCTGTCAGAACTGGAAAGATTCATGAGATTGAATGCTGAGAAGGATGTAGCCAGTATGAGTGAGGAAGAATGTTCTAAGAGATTGACAATGCTAAATGAAGCAAAGGATGGAGAGTGTGAAACCGAAATGAAAGGACGGCTGCAGGAAATGGAAAGAACACGGCACTTGATGGTATGGCATGACCTCTCTACTGTGGCTAACCATTCACACCTTGTGTTTATGGCAACTTGTCTTTATGATCCAGCAACATTTTACACCAGCAGTGAATATGAAGCTATGACAGGAAGAAAGGTCAACATTCAATCTCTAGTTGAATCCCCCAGCTTATACATAGTAGCAAGATCCTCATCCTCTGATGCAGACCAGTTGTGCTATGTTGATACCAGACTGGAATGTTTGGAGGAACTTTCTTCTGAAGTTATAGCAACTGCTTCCGGTGAACCGCTCATAGACAAGATGAGGTTCTTCCATGGCGACAGCCCTTCACGTCAATATGAAGCTGGTCAGCAAAAAGGAGGAAATTACTACTGTGCTCTGTGTGGTGCAAGTGCTCACCGTGTGTATGAGCTAGATTATGTGTTTCGTTGTCCACATATGTCTCTGGGTGATCGACAGCAGTTGGTATTAAAAGGCCCATGTGGTAAGGTAAATTCCTTAGCAAAATCAAACAAACCCTTTCACGGACTGACAAAACCCAACTTAGTCAAGGAGTTAAACGCAAGATCAATCTTTGATGGTGATAAGAAGAAAGAGTTGGAAGATCTACTGAAGGAGGAGTTGCATGGAGTTCAGCGGGTGCCAGCATTACTTTTCACCCGTCCCGACAAAACCTTAGAATCGATTAACTGTGCTAGTTATGAAATTCTAGGTTTTGAACCCCTTCATGACATTGGAAAGCACATCGAAAATTTATTAACCGAGCTTCCTGACCACCTACCAACAAACGGAAGCTTCTAAACTGAAGGCTGTTCTAGAATTATCCATTGGGAGTAAAGAAACAAAGCGGACCATTGATTATCGATGCGCTTTGATCATGGTTTCAAATCAGATTCGAGGCATCGTTAATCCACTGGTCCAGTTGTTACTTGACACCCTTGTGGAAATTCAAGAGATAGCCTACAGTTCAGAAGCACAAAGAACCCCACGATCAGTCCTGAGACTTCATAACCTTACCTGGTACCATGGCATGCTGTGTAGGTCTGTTATTGGATTTTCCTTGAAGCAACTGACCACCCGGAAGTTTTATGGAAATTACTTTCACAACATAACAGCACATGCACCCATTCAGAACAGATTGATCAGTGGCATATCAACAAACACCGAGGAGCAAGAAAGAGTTTTCAACAGTATCAACAGCATCACAAGAACAACATCATCCTACCATCCACACCATATCATTGGCAATGTGTTCATCCGACTCCAGGCTGAGAAAGATCTTAAGTCCCAACAACCTTCCATCTCTGACACACAAGAAGCTCATGTTACCAAACTTGCATCCTCTCTACCAACTTTTGAAAATACTGTTATTCCAAAACAGATGCTAACAAGGAATCCCAGATTTTGGCAAGCTCATCTTGAAAGAATTTGTGATTTCTTATTAGCAGGCGATGGAATTTGGTGGAGAACTTGTACAAATGGTGATATTGAGTTTTTTGATGCAAAGGGAAATCCTGATGCTGTTCCTCAAGGACCAACCCTGCACCATTTCCGCTCGAGCAACTTCAAAGCAGAGGAGAATTACTTGAAAACCTGTTGGCAAATGTGTTTGGAAAGAAAAATACCAATGCCAATCAAAGTGCTTCAAATTGAAAATGCTGAGGGCAATATGGTGTTAAAGGAAGCAGAGATAGCAAATGATTTAGAGGGAGTTGGACTTGAAGGTCATTGCACTGATCAGTGCAATGACAGGGTGGCAGCGGCTATTGGTATAGGTGGTGTTGAAAGTTTGGAACTTGGCGAAGACTGTATGTCCGAAAGTAGTGTGAATGTTGGGGTTGTTGCTGAAGGGAGTGTGGATGGTTGTGATGGTGTTGCTGGCATGGACGATGTGGTTGGTTTGATGGGTGAAAAGGATGTTGTTGAATGTAATGTGAGGTTAGTGGAGGTTACTAACGATACTTGCCTTGGCAATGATTTCCAGGAAGAAGCTAACCAAGATGAAAATGTAGAAGATATAAATAACTCTGAAGCAAACAATCAGCAAACCGAGAAAGGTATGTAATCAACAATAAAACAATTGATAACTTTTAGCCTACTTACATGTATTTGCATAATAATTATACAAACTACATATAGGTTCATCACGAATTGTAAGTTTCTGAATCTGTATTAAAATATGTCCGATGGAATGAACTAAATTATATTCTCAATGACAATAGATTTTTACTAATTACATTCCAACCATTACTTTAATATAGAATCAGAAGGGCAACAACAAACACAAACGAAGCAAAGGCGTGCACTGGGCTTTGTTCTGGGAATAACTGAGGAGGTGTTGCAGTTTGACAAGGCAAGGAAAAGATTGAAGGATTCACCAAATAACAATGACTTAATAAAGGCTTACCTGCACGTTTTCAAAGTCATGGAAACCTCTGTGTCCCGAGCACAGGCCAACAGCAAACGGCAGCTCAAGGAAATCGAGCAGCAGTACTTCAGAAGTCGTGGTAAACTGCCGACATCGAAGGACATGTTAAAAGATCCAACTTCCAAATTGTTGATCGACAAGCTGAAGTATTGCAAAGCCCTGGTGGATCAGTGGAAAGAAGAAAAAAAAAAAGATTCTTCATGAATCAAATTTATAAAAAAAACGGCCCTTTTTAGGGCCACCAAAGAATTATAAACGTACAATTTCGATAATATTTCCCTTTGCAGAACGTTTGATTTTTATGGTATTATACAAATAATGTACTTACATTTAGCTGGCACAAAAAATTGCACTGTCTAGGTTTGCCTCGAGGTTTGCTTTGTCCTGCAATCGAGTCAGACTCCTTGAATCCTTTATCATTTGTGTTTTCATCAACAGTTGTAAACATATTGAAACTATTAACCGTTTTGTCCACGGACTGTTTTTTCTTCAAAGTTATTGTTTGCAAGTGTAATTATAAGAAAAACAAATGTCGTTTTTATTGAAGTCAATATACTGGTATAAAATTGAACAAAGATCAAGAAAGATGTACGACCAACGAACATTCCATCGAACATTTAAACTACAGGCATTTCGTTGCTAAGGAACAGTTCTAAATCACAAGCACAGGCTACCCAAAATAGGTTTCCAAATTATAAGACTTGCCAGTTGGCACAAACGTTCAACCAACCTTCAACCATATTTAAATTTAGTATTGCTCAGTTTTTCAAAAGTTTATTTGCAATCATTTTATAGCACTTTTGTATGATTGTAAACTTTAGATAAAACATCATCAGTACTGTCGAAAGCGGAAAGTTTATTCTCGTCACCAGTCTTTTACCGAGACATTTGCGTGAATTTGGCGCAAAATTGGTTAATTGGCGCTAAAATTAAACCTCGTAGGGCTAAAATTGAACAGCTTGTCTTTATATTATATACGTGTATGCACAGTTTGTATTTTCTTGTTCGCGTCGCTTAATAAAGAATAATTATGGGGAAACCTGATTCTGAAATAAGTGATTTGAAAAAGAAAAGAATAATGCGAAACTGTCGCAAGAAGCGAAGGCGACAACAACGGGCTATAAACAAACGCACGGCTTCTGAAGCAGTTCTGGCGCGGAAAGTAAATGACGGCTTAATGGAGCAGAAAGCACTGGCCGAAAAATATCATGACAAGTGGAGAAAATTATGCAGAGAAGCAAAAGATTTACGACGTAAGATACAAAGTCACTCGAGAAAGGTAAACTATTTTCAAAGACAAAGCCCTGCTGCTATTGTCAAGTCAACACTGAGTACAATACAGAAATATTAAAATGTGCAGCACATGTTTAGAGTATACTGGCTAGGAAATTCCCTGCTAGTTTCTATAATGTCGTTTATACCCTGACAAAGAATAGGAGAAGTTCCTTATATAGTCTATATAGAATTCTAGATTTTAGTGTAATTATTAAAATGGTACTATTAAATAATTATTTTATAAGCAACATGCAGTACTTATAAATGAAATATATTTATAAATAAATTATCTACATTGCTTAGATTCCTTCAAGATTTACAATGTTGTATAAAGGTTTTGCTAACTACACATGAAAACAATAGATTGCATGCTGTTCGAAAGTACGGGTATTTAGGTTTTGGGAATTGGGTGGGAGCTCCCCCCCCCAAAAAAAAAAATTCAGGGATTTTTTTATTTGGAGGGAGTTCCCCTTCCTATAGTCACAAACCTAGACATTCTTTCCTGTGCTCACCTATTTCCAAATGAGGGGATAGAAATGTCTGGGTTCACCAACTGCACCTCTATGTGATTATATGCCTTATCACTTACCAGTTTAATTAATATTAATAATGATATTCATATTCCATTTTGGGGGGAAATTCTCCCCCCCCCCAAATTTAGCTATTTTCAGATTTGTGGGGAATTTAGGATTTTTGGGGGAATTCCCCCCGCCCCCAGCAAAATACCCCTCAAAATGTTGTATTAACCCATTAAGATGCAATGGATTATGGATCATTCCAAAAACATCCCACAGAAGAAATTGGAAAGTTGAACCCCTCCCCTTATTACATTTTAGCACATTTAGGAAATTTTAGTGCATATTATTATGAGGTGAAGATCCCCCCCACCACCCTAACTTCCTGGATGACCCAAATTTCTTCCATGGAGTATCCTATAGTCTCATAATTTTCTGGTATATCATATATATCCATATACCAATATGTAAATACTGCATGCACACTCTATAAACTATTGTATACTTTGTATTTTAATTTAATGTTTTGCAGGAACCATCTGAAAAATACTTCTTCATCTTGTGATGTTGGTTTCCTGAATAAATATTATCATTCTTATTATCTGATTTTTGAACATTTTCTGAAAAAAAATTTTTTTGTTATTTTGAGCCCATTAACTATTGTACATTAAGACTGCATGGTTGATTTTTTTCAAAAAAATCTAAATTAGGTGAAAAAAGCTCTCAAAGTTACCTTGTTTGAAAATTTACCCCATAGCAACGCCCTAGCAACGCATTTAGGTACAAAATTCACTCAAAATTTCGTCCAAAAATCACTTCAAACAAGTTTCTTTATGTTTCTCCTTTTGGTGTATGTGATTTAGAATCTTCTGACTTAGCTGCATTGCGATTGGTTGCTTTGGGGAGCCATGGCAACGCGATTTCTTTGTCTGTCTTGTGATCGATCGCATTTGCATTCACTGTGAAATTATCGACAAAATTTTTTCTTAAATTCCAAGTCGAAAAGTTGCTGTTCTAGTTTCCCAAAGATTCGTTTTGTTATTTGGATTGTAATTTAAAGTCAATAAATGAAAAATACGAAGAACAGAGCGATAAAATCCGCCTTCGAAGACGGCGAAGAAATTCAAACATGGCGAATCTCGTGACAAAGAAGCTGGACATTCCAGAGCGAAAATTGGCTCTCAGACAGCAAACTTTGGTGTTAATACCGAAATTATATAGACACTACAAGGAAAGGAACAGTATTTATGGATTTGTCAATTTTATTTGGTGTCTTTGATAACATTTTGAAATGTCCTGACAGTGGAGATGAACATGGATATTCTCATTACATTGTTTTACAGTTTGTGTGCATAAAAATAGTTCTACCCAGAAAACTTTCGGATGGAAAAGGAATATCTGGTAAAGGTCAGCTTACTGATGGTAAAATAGATGTTCTAGAAAATTATTACGGTCTGGCAAACAGAGAAGCCAAGCTGTAAAGGCATCTCTTCTCCATGTTGATTCGACTGATGAGAACCCGCAGCATCATCTTTGCCCGAAAGGAAAGTTTGTGTGGCTATCAAAGAGATAGCGAAACATATAAACACAAGAATGGTATTTCAAAGCCCATTGTTGAGTTGATTATATTTGCTGATTTGGCTAACACTGTCTTATTGAATAAATCACACATAGCTTGACCCAGAATGCAAATGAATGTTTGGGCGGGGTCATCTGGGACTGATGTCCAAAGTCTACCTATGTAGAGCAGGAAAGAGTAGCTCTTGTCACCTATTTAGCAGTCCTAAAATTCAATGATGGGGACATTTATTTCCTCAAAATTTTTGAAGATTTGGATATAATGCCTGGATTCTTCATTCGTAAAGGTGCCCAAGACTGTGACAGAGCGACGATCAAGCTGTCGGCCCAAAAGAGCTCAGAAAAGGTGAAAGTAAGGAGAAAGTCACTAAGACACCTCAGAAAGAAGTATTTAGATCATGCTGAGGGCATGGAAAGTGTAACTTATGAAGCAGATAGCTTCTGAACCTTTGTAATGTAAGAAAAACATGAATGAGAACTTTATTTGGATTTTCTCAGTTTCGCAATTTGACATGTGTCAGTGATCTTTGTGATACTGTAATCTTCTAACTATTCATTGCAGAAGGTTAATATTTGGCATACTTACTGACTGTAACATTGTCTAGTAACTGTCATTCTTCAATTTTCAATATTTTTGATCCTTAATGAATTATTTGCAAATTACCTTCAAAAGTACCAGATTAAAAGTTGAAATAATTGAAAATTCCAAAATTTGACACTAATTTTTTTTAAAAACCATTTTGAACAAAATTAAAGAAGGTCAGTTACTAGATAAGGTTCTAAGCTTTTTAAAAATATATCATTTATTTGATTCTGATGACTGGTTCTTGAGATATCATGTTTACGACGCTAGGCAATTATGGGTTAACGGCCGCCATATTGGATAATTAGTGTAATTAACGACTTTGTTAAAAAATTTTTGCATTGGTCATTTTCTTTCACCTGACCCTTTCAGAAAATGATATTTTTGCATAAATCTACTTAAAAATTAAAAAAAAAGTTTCAAGAGGGGTTGACTACCTTAAAAACATTCTAAAAGAGATTAGCTTGTTTTATTTATTTCAAAATCCTAAATTATTTCCAGAAATCATCAAAACAATCTTATGTCCATGCATCGTCCGAACTAACGCCATCGAATCGGGCGCAATGTAAACATAAATTAGCAAGTTGACGGCAAGCTAAAACACGCTTCAGCTGGGAATATAAACGCATTTGAAGGCAGCAAGTGAATTTAAAATAGTGTATTGGAAGCCTTTATTACTTAGTTTTTACAAGCTATTGCCAAAATGCCTCAATTTGCTCGTTTTGTTGACAAAATAAGTTATTTTCATCAAGTATCGATTTGCTATTGCATCTCAAATTTTTGACTCTCCAATCGCAATCACTTAAAATACTATTATTCACGAACCACTGGATTAAATTTACGAAACAACCCATCGTTGGAAAGCTGAATGTCTACGCTTTAAAACAAATGTAAACCTGAACGTTTTACTCTGACATTCGTTTCGAAATTTATATTTGAAGCGAGGACTCCGTTTTTTATGATACACCCTGTATATATATATATATAGCTCAGTGATCCAGACTATCTTGGGTTCCCTGTGCTCCTTGTATTATTGTCGGACGTATTGGTTTTCTGTTCTCTCGTTAAGTTTGTCTTAAATAAAACCCTTTTTCCTTTAACCTGTCTGGTGTTGGGTCGAGTTGTGTAAATGATGTCACTGGTGGATTTTTCCACCAGTGATATTTGGTGCACTGCCAGTGACAAAAGTGCTTTCCACAGAGGAAGTGAAGCACACCATAGAAGGGCCTGGAAAGTCTACCTGTAATGCAGCAGAATGCAGAAATTGACGAGGAACCATGGAACATTTTCAGAGATTTGTTAATTAACATTTGTCCGAGTGACGGTCTGTTGTGCGACATATTTTATCTTTTTAAACAATTTCAATGAGAGAAAGTTTGTACAAAGAGGCTATGAAATCTATCTCGGTCAAAAGTTTGATGGCAGATCACACTTTTAAGGTAAGTTTTTTTTATCTCAAACATGCGTTCTACATTCATCTAACTAAACTTACATTTTTTGTTATTGTTGCTACTTGACATGTGCACCACAGTATGCATGCATTCCCTGGTGTGCGGAAGTACTCCTATTCATGGATACTGCATGTAAGATACAGCCAAGCTGGCTTTTCGACTAAAAAACGACTGTAGGGCCCCTTTAAGGATTTTGCACACATTTACTACGTATGGGTGGATGAAAAGTAGAAAAGGTAAATAAACTTGTTGGGGAAAATGGCAATAGTCAGTTTTTTAACTTTTTATATAGGCGGCCATGAACATTGGGGTAAAACGAAAATCCGATGGAGCATTGGTAAAACAGTTCAACTCATTGTTTGTGGTACTAAATGAAGAGCATCAAGTTGTCACCTGGGAGTCAACGAAAAAAGAACAATTTGACGTAATAAAAACCCTCACATCCGTTCCAACACAGCTGCATACATGTTCCAGAGTTTTTTTTATAGGACTGACAACCAATCAAATGAACAAAAAATAGAAACAGCACCAAAGGAAAGTATTCTTAAAAAATTGGATGAATTCAGCAGAAAATGGAAGCATATATCTGAAACGTCCATTGATGGGCTTTTATTGCATGATTCATTCGATGAGCAAATGAAAAACGTACATAAACATGTTGCTCTTGGATGTCTTTCGGGCATACCGCCGAGTTATTCCACAAGCATAAATGAAAGCCTACATCGACAAATAACAACCTACTTGCTTTTGCACTCTTGGCTGGTTTTTGTTTTTGCTTGGAATTCTCATCAATGAAACACGATGGGAGGGGGGTGCCAATTATCCAGCAACTTTCATCACAAACTATGACAAACTGTGAATTACTTGCACATCAAAAAGAATGCTTTGGTATAGGTGGTAAAACACCAAACAACATTACAAGTTCAAACGACCATGATTCTTCCTACTCATTAGAGGAGTCAAGTGGTGTTGAATGTGCTATGTCCATGTTACAATTTCGAAACATTCTAAACCACGCGAGTAATAACGGTAGTGGACTTCGTGCTGATGATCGATTCTTTCATAACGAAATATTGAAGTATATTTTGAATGGAGAACATAAAATAGCAAATGAGGTATTGCAGAAAAGTGAGTTGGAGGGTACTGCAGCACAATTTGGGATGGAAATAGTCCCTATAGCTCCATATGGTAACTGCTTTTTTACTGCCATTGTGTTTTCAATTGTTCAGAATATTAGCAAATCTAATACTGCAAGCAGATTGTATGAGAATTTGGGAATTCAATTGTACAATACAATGGAAGAAGTTTCACAAACAACTGACAACAGACAAGTTAAAAAGAAACAAAGCTCTGACATTTTTTACATAACGTCCAGAAAAACCAATGCGATGATCTTGTGAAGGATTTTCAACAACCTGGTGTATTTGCTGGAGATATGGGAGTTCTAAGTGTTAAATCTAACCAACATATTAAAGACACCTCTCATTATACTTACAAATATTTCCAACTATAAAGTGATAACAGTTACACCTGATGAATTTCATAATGGAAATGACAGCATTTTTTTAACATATACATGTGATGGACCAGGACACTATGACGCTCTGGTGCACAGAGATTACGGACGGACAGACGAACCAGAAATTACTTCTGGTAACCTTGAAGACAGCATAAGTGTACTTGTGGCATGTCTCTAAAGCAAAATAAACCTTCCTGTACTGATAAAATGACTGATAGCTGGCGAACATATATTTCCTGCTGTCCTTGTTTGAGAAAAAATATGGCATGCACAACATTGTGCAAATGTAAGGGATGCAACAATCCAAATGGTGTGAAAACACCTGAAAATCAAGCTGAATGTAAGCGACAGTGAGCAGAATCAGATTTAAAGGGTGAAGGAATGGATGGTGTATCATATCTGATGTCCAAAAATAAGAATGTTACACACAGAAAATGGACGGATGAAGAAAATTTCATATTTCTGCAATATATTGCAATGCACCCAAACGTTATCATAAAAAATAATTCAGACATGTCCACGACTGTTACAGAATTCATACAAAATTTTAACTCAACATTAATGCAAATGGATGGGTGTTATTGAATCTGGCGGCAGACAGATGAAAACAGAAAATCAGATTCTCAGGTGCATTAATGCCTGGCTCTAAATTTGAAAGGAGTGATAAAATAAAAAAAACACACTAAAATCAATAAAAAATTAAGAGGCTGAAATTAAGAACTGCATCGCTGTAATTTGAAACTTCGAGATTATTTTACTGATACAACAATATAGCCTTCGATAATACAAAGACTCGCTCACTGATGATATAATATGCCACAAAATGACCTTTCTAGATGAATGTCTTCACAGTTCAAATTGCTAGACCAAAGTTAGATATAAGCTTAAAATTATATGTCTATAAACGACATGAATTAAGTTTATTTAGTGAGTCGGCAAGTCGATCGTGTTTCTTGCATGTACTGAAAATTTAGACCGCCATTTTATAAGCGAGCCATCTCAGTTAAGTCTACACAGGGCAGCGGAGAAGCATAAAATCATAAGTTGTCATGGTGATAGCATCCAAAGGAATGTAAAAACAATATGGTGGACCAAGCACAACTTAAAAACAGACAAATACAAAGCTAAAATACGATAAATTTTGACTGGTCTTTGATAACAGTAACGCAATAATATGTAAATTTATAAAGTTAAAATGCTATTAGAGTTCTTATGAATCACCATATACTAAAATAAAGGCTAATTTAACCAAAACAAACACAGGTTTATACATATTGATGATCAAAGATCATATGCAACGACTACAACTTTATATAGGTCTAACTGTAACTGTAAAATCTTTTGCCGAGTGTCACTCTCTTATCTTTCAGATCATATTAAGTATGACGCAAATCTGCATAGCTGAAATTTAGGCGCAAAAAATTCAAATCACACAAAGCTTTGAGCTACTCGACACAAGCGATATCGATCTATTAAGGTTTTACTGAAGTATATAGGAGAGCTATTTCATAAATAATGGTGTTTAGCTTTATTGATCCTGTGACCTGTGGTTTCGCCAGAGGTATTGCATGGGAAATTTCGAAAAAATTATACGAAGACTGGAAATTTGGCAACAGTGATGCTCGGTTGCAGCAGAAGCAATCTTGTCCGGTCATGGTTCGATATAATCGCTTTCAATACAGTGTTTGATTGTTGCAAGGAGAACTTTGCTATCGATCTGAAGAGATTCCAAAGGATTCTTCCCAATTTACGTAAAAAGTTTTCAGGATGGGATAGACGTAAGATACATGAACGCAACCAGTACACGGCAACATTCAACATTGAAAGCTGGAAGGCTTTATCCACGTCCCAGCAAGGAAAACATACCTTTGAAAATTGCTGACCCTGTCAAGATCGTTTTGCGGCAATCCAAGCTCTATTCCCCGTCAAATCATCATGGCTCATTGGCAGCTCTCACCAGAAAGTTTTGTCCTCAACCGATGTTATTGACTCGTGCATAAACGAACATGCTACAAGATTACCCAAAGGATGCAGTACAAAACGTAAAGCTTTGGAAATTGCCCGGGCAGTGTACAACAAGATAAATCCATCCTTTGAAAGTGTCTGTAAAATGCCCTTGTCCTTTGCTTTGATAAATGTCCAGGAGCTAAATATAGAAGAGAAAAAGTCAAAAAATGAAAAAAGAAAAGAACGAAGAAATATTTACAGAAAGTCAAAGTACACTACAGAGGCTGAGTGGGCTAAGACGGATGTTGTCAGGTATAAATTACTATATATACATACTGTATATACGCATTACACATATGATAAATTTAATGCTGTACAGTAGCTATAAATACAATTTAGTTTATAATTATTTTATGTTAACATACATAAACAATTTTGGTGTTATATTATAACAGTACTAACTAATATTTAAATTTACCTCATTATACGTAGATGTTATGGAAACAGACAGTCACTGGCAGCAAGGCAAAGAGACAGACTGACATTATGCTTTGAAAGCTTTGAGGAAGCAAAACTTAGACATGAACAAAAATCACAAGCGGTCGCAACTAAAAAGAGTCCAGTTGGAAAGTTCGAAAATATGGAATGGGACAAGAAAGCTTTGATGGAAGAGATCAGTGGTTATGAGAATGGTGTAGTGAATTGGTCAGAACTTGCAAGGAAGTATCAAGTAAAGAATAAGAATGGGGAATTGGTGAAGAATGGTGGTCAGATAGTACAAGAATACCTCAAGTTCCAAGGTGTTTATAGATTAGATAAATTTTATTAACATGTTAGTTTTACCTAAAACTTACAAAAACATTCTTAGCTCTGGTCTACCCAGAAGCTGTGCTAAAGACCTTACAAAAAAGTATATATGCCTAATAGGTTTTTATAGGCAATTGGAACATTTTCTATAGATGATCGACCTATGGGGATGCCTATAATTGCAGTTAGTAGCTATATATAACTGTAAACGGATTTGCAAGTAGCCATTTTTTGTTGTTTTTTTAAGGTGTGGATGTCTCAAAATTTAAAAAGAGAGGATCAGATGATGATGGCGGACGAATCAGGAAGAGAATAAAACGAAGTGCTGGAGGTGAGATCAGCGTGCCATGCCCAGTGACGAATGAGGAATTGAGGGACAAGTTAAGCCAGAAAATACTGTCTGGGGAGTACAATGTTGGGGAGCTTATTGTGCCTCGAAAAGTAAGTTAGTCAATAGTCATGTTCTTATTTATATATAGCAGCTACTATACTGCAGCTAATGCTACTACTACTAATGCTACTACTCTGTCTGAAGCAACACAATTTAACTTGTCAAGGGGAGTCTTGTAACTCAATGGGTAATTGATATACACTACAATTATATTAAGTAAACCCATTAAGCTGCAGAGCTTCCCTACTGATGGGTAAAATCGTCTGGCGTTAGACAAGTAAAAAATAAATATATGCGCATATATGCTTGGGTTGAAGGGCTTAATATTCAAGACAAAATAACAATAACTAAGTACGTCTTATATAATAATTTAATCAGGTTTTGATATAAATGCAGAGTAGGATTTGCCCGTTGTCAGAGCCTGTGACATGACATTAGCTGCCATCGTTATTTAAAGAACCATAGTCTCTTTTTGCATGCCTGTGCTCGGAAGCAAAATTTCCATTTTACAGTTACAACAAAATGGTAATATAAGATGCGAGTTGTTTATACTTATACAACCCTTATAGGTTGTATGCGGTATTGAGTTAATTTTAATAAAATGTAAGCTAATTTATATTAAAACTATCACGACCACAGGCGCTTTTTATATTCTGTATCACTCTGTTCCTTTGTTAGATAATATAAGCACAAAAACAAGGTTAAAATTGACTGCATCTTTACTTTGACCGACCACAGGATCGACCTGTTCTATATACATGACACAACATCGTACTGCGACTCCTCTGACACCGCCATATTAAAATTGGCGCAGTGCAGAGCATGTGTGTTGTTTCATTTGATTTTGTTGCACGGAGGGCGAGAAAGTAGTACACATATTAGCCATTCATATCTTAAAATTAATATTTATTTTATGATTGTTTCACTAAATGCTACATAATGTAAATCAGAAAAACATCTGTCGTTGTGAATAAAAATATAAAATCATATTTGAAAATTTTTTGATATATATGCTGGCCAAACGTTGTAAGCTACGGAAATAATTTGCAAGCGCTCCCCCCGGATTGTTTACACTCTACATCCATCCATCCATCCATTGTTGAGTCACGTAATAACATAATGCTTCGCACCCCATCACAATAGGACAAACTTGCCTTCGTCAACTTTGCACTAATAAGTAAGGCGCACTGTAGCGCATTGCGGCTCAATGGGTTAAGCATATTTAATTAACAGCTAATTACCTGTTTTGAAATGTTGGTGTGTAGGTTACCACAGAGAGTTCCATACTCATGTAGCTATCTGTTTATATTCTAGTATGAAAAGTTTGTACTTGATCCAGATAGCTCCATCATAAAGACCCACTTCTTTGTCGAAGGTAGCAAATGTCCATTGCATGAAATCAGGGAACAAAAGCTAGAGGAATTGAAAGAATACACAAGGTTTGTGGCCCAGTCAGGTTTATCAGCCTTTGGCTTTGACAGTAAGTGTAATCCTCTAGGCCTGTAATTGTAAGTGCAATAAAGTTGTTATTATTATTATAGGGCTAATCCAGATGAAGACCTGGATGCAATATCATATAGTGATATTGTTGACAAACTGAATCTAGTAAATGAGATGGAAGATGTTGAAAGCGAAGAAAAAATGAGAATGCATGTTAAAGATTTGGAAAGAACACGGCATCTCATGATTTGGCATGATTTATCAACAGTAGCAAATCATTCCCATCTTGTCTTCATGGTGACCTGTCTGTATGACCCTGCTTTTTTCTATACGGATGGTGAATATGAACAGTTGACCAAGAAAAAAATCAGTGTACAGGCAAAGGTTGAATCACCTAGTGTCTACATAGTTGCAAGATCTTCATCATCTGATAAAGAGCAATTGTGCTATGCAGAAACTAGGCTGGAATGTCTAAAAGATTTGTCGCACCCGGTCACAAGTGAATCTGGCTTAATCGTCAATGACAAGATGAGATTTTTTCAAGGAGATACACCTGCTCGTCAGTACGAGTGTGGCCAACAGAAAGGTGGAAAATATTATTGTGCTATCTGTGGTGCGAGTGCCAATTGTGTGCATGAAATGGACTACTCTTTTCGCTGCTCACATATGTCTCTAGCAGATAGACAAGATCTTGTTCTCAAAGGTCCATATGGAAAGAAGTATTCTCTCCAGAAGGTAAATAAACCTTTTCACAGTTTAACCAAGGATGAGTTGAGTAAGGAATTATCTGCTAGAGGCATATATGAGGAACTTCAAAAGAGGAACTTCAAAACTTACTAAAATATGAGCTGCATGGTGTACAACAGGTTCCTGCTCTACTGTATCCCAATTCTAATCTACCTCTTGATGCAATAAACTGTGGTGAATATGAGATATTGGGTTTTGAACCACTCCATGACATAAGCCACAACATTGAGAACATCCTGACTGAGCTTCCATCACACCTTCCTAAAAAAGAAGCTTCTGAATTGAATGCTCTTATTGAGTTCTGCATAGGGGGGGGGGGGAGAAACAAAAAGGGCCTTTGATTATCGATGCGCTCTGGTTTTGATTTCAAATCAGATCAGAGGCAAGATAAATTCACAGGTTCAATTGTTACATGATAATGCTTATATCATGTAATTTTACATACTATTATATTATACTATATAGCTTATACTTTCTATTCATATTATTAACCGAATAGCTTACATGCATGAGTAAGCAAATAGTTTTAAAGATTAAGATGTCCCACAACTAACCGCGTAGCGGACATGACTCGGTTTGGCGTTGGCCGATTTGTGGTTACTGAGACTTGCTTCAACGAACTGTATTGCGTAGGGGAAATGAGTCGTAGTTTTGTAGTTTCTTCCCCTATAGCAGAGCGTATAAAAGCCTGAGCACAACTAGACAATTCATGCATTATTCATAAGGCGAAAGCCTGAATAACATCTCCGTGAAGATATATAGGAATTACAAGTTAATAAAGAAAGATTTAAAAGGATTATACGAAGGCGAAGATATATTAAAGATAAAGAATTGTCAGGAATTGAAGAGTTGTACTCAGTCGTGAAAAGAGATAAGTTTGAACAGTACATTATTATTAAGAATTATATTATATAAGTAAAAGTTATAGAGACGCTAGTTATTGAGATTTGAGTAATATATAAGTAAGAAATAAAATATATCATTGAAAGTAATTGGTTTCACAATCTTTGTTGCGAGCGAATAGAACCAAAAGCGCGGCCAAATAAAATAGTAAGGACCGGCTCGTAACAATACTCTTGTAGAAATTCAAGAAATAGCATACAATTCAGAAGCTCAAAGAACCCCAAAATCAGTTCTTCGCTTCCACAACCTCACCTGGTACCATGCAATGTTGTGTCAGACAGTTATCGGGTTTAAACCAAAAAAATTAACTGCACGCAAGCTTTACGGGACATACTTCCACAACATCACATCCCATGCGCCAATCCAAAACAGACTTATTAGTGGACGTTCAGCTAATACCGAGGAACAAGAAAGAATCTTTAATGCAATAACAAACATTACCCGCACTACATCTTCATTCCATGCAGACCATGTCACTGCCAACATCCTTGTTCGACTTCAAGCAGAGAAACATTTGTCAGCAAACCACCATGCTTCATCTGTTGAAAAGCAGCAAGCCCAAGTTTCTAAACTGGCCTCTTCATTACCAAGTTTCCCCAACACTATTATACCCAAGGATATGCTGGTGAACCATCCTTCATCTTGGCAAGCGCATCTAGAAAGGATAAGTGATTTCCTTTTAGTTGGCAAAGGTGCATGGTGGAATGAATGTGAAAATGGTGATATTCATTTCTTTGATGCAAAAGGAAGTCCTGAATTATTGGAAAAAGGCCCTTTGCTCCATCATTTTAGATCTAGCTCATTCAAGTCGGAGGAATCTTACTTGAAAAAATGCTGGCTAAAATGTGTGGAGCAAAGGTCTGATTGACCAATATTCAGATTGCAGATTGAAGATACGGATGGGAATATGGTTGTTCATCATATTGATAGAGCATCAGGTGATCATATTAGTGTGGAAGTGGTCAGTGATGATTTGCCAAATGATGAACTGGTTAGTGATAGCATTATGGATAGTGGTGTTGTTGCAGGGGATGGGGCTACTAAGGTGGCCGGAAGTGACGATAGGGTGAATTTACCCAATGGAGTTGTTGACGGTACTGATGCTGTGGTTGCATGTGAAAATGTGGTTGTTGACAGTAGTTTTGTTGTGGCTGTTGGTAGTGAAGGTGAAGTTTTGGGTGACTCTGATGTTTCATTTGACAAGACTATTTCAGATGACAAATTTGTTGATGCTACAGTCACTGCCACAAACTGTACGTCTGAAGTAAATGTGGGTCAGGATGTAAAAAATACTGTGAAGAACCCAGGTAAATTATCCAATAATTTAGTCCAAAATGCTATTATATAAAGGTCCGGTAAATGCATGTCACTATTAAAATTAGACTCGGCAACTGTCCTAGAAAATAAGAACTATATGTATAGGTAAAAAGTTGTACATACCAAGTTGAGAAAAACTATAAACTTGTCTTGCTTTGTTTTGACAGAAATATTGGTGAAAGCCATTGGTCAGTATACCAAGTGTATCCAAAAAATTATATTGCAAACCATCAGTCAAAAGGAGAAATTGTATATGCTTCCGTGTTGCATATAAAATATTGTTTCGAGATTTAGCGGGAAGTTCATAAATTCGCAATCATATTGTCAGCTACTCTACTAGTAAACTACAAATTATACCAACCATAGTGTGCAAATAAGTACACATACTTATATTTTCAAGTAATATATCGTGTTTAGAATGGGAAAGTCAGACAACTGTACTGTAGAATTGCGGAAAAGAAAAATGATCGAAAGAAACGTCGACGCAAACAGCGCGCCAATTATGAAGCGTGCAGTCATGTCCAAAGCTGTGGCAGAGAAAATCGCAGAAAGCGTTCGCAAACAAAAGCTGATCGTGGAAAATTACTGCGTGAAATGGAGGGAAATATGCAAACAATCAAAATTTCGTAGGCAGGTAACTGAACAAATAATTGTACATTTTAATTTGATATAGTGTAGCTATATAAATTATAAGCTATATGCCTAATAATCTTGAATGAACAAGTTAGCACAGAAACGGACCAGTTGAAAACTAATTTATCACGCACGGTTCATACACAAGTCACTCATATATTAAAATTAGTACTATCAGCAGGTAATCAAAATTTTCGCCAGTCCCACCCCCACGGTCCTGAGTACAATGCTTGTTCGCTTGTACACACACCAAAATATTAGTGAGAATATTTTCGACCCTCTAAAAACTAATCCTGGGTATACAACTTGTACTTTAGGTGCCCATTTTGGGTGGTGCCCCCCCCCCCACTTCCCCCATTGAGATGTTTTTGCAGCCTATTGGCTCTATTTGGCAATGTATCCTGTTATATATTAATGTTATTAACTTTTACTTTAGGGAAATACAAACAAAAATATCAAAATAAATTATATGTTCCAATTTGGTACAAATCGGTTTTGCGTTTTATTCAAAGATTTAATTTTTCACATCAGTATTTTCTTATAAATCTTTTTGCAGATTGCAATTAATGTGAATGCTGAAAAGTCAAATTCAGTTTCAGATGTCAACAACATCTGTCCAAATGAGTTAACCCCACTGGACGAGAATACATGTATTGGATCTGGCACATTTGGAGAATGTACTTTAAAGTTGTACAAACGGTTCAATTTAGTGGTTTTAGAAAAGCAGCTTTCAACATCAAATTTAAAAGCTGTAATTAATGAAGCTAAGTGTATGAATATACTAACACATCCAAATATTCCCCAATTGTTAGGTGTCCAAACTACATGTAAACCATATGCCTTAATAATGGAGTTTATTGGTGAAGATATGAAGTCATCCACAGTCCATCAGTTGCTTGAAGAGACCAGCTCAAAAGGTTCGCCACTTCTTACACCTGAATGGATTTCTGTTTGTGTGAATATTGTGGAAGCAGCCAACCATATCCATTCCAAAGGTTATTTGCATTGTGACCTCAAAACCAACAGTGTTTTAGTATTGAAAAAGAGAGGCAAGCCAACTGCCAAGAAGTACACTTCCTTCTATCATTACATAGCCCCTGAGGTACTGCGAGGACAACCAGTTAGCTCATCAAGTGATGTATTTTCTCTTGGAGTCATTATTTCCACAATTGCCAAAACTGTTGGAAACAAATCCATGTACTCAGATGGAAGGCAGTGCAAGGATACCAAGCCACAGGTTCGACCATCTCTCCCAACATTGATAACACAACTACAAGGAATCATTGAAAAAGACAATAGTTAATATAAGTAAAATACATTATTCCCTTTGTAATTAAATATAATTCTTATCAGCACATAAATTAGTTAAGCTTTCATCATCAGTGCAGTCATGGATTGCTAGAGCAGTAGGTTATCATGAGGTCTTGAGTTTTTTGGCAGCCAGTGGAAATTATTTTACGGTATAAATAGCATGTAATTGGGCATTAAACTAATAAATTAAACTAGATTTTATACTGCAAGTAGTTGAAACTTATGTTGTCAAGACTTCGAGTCTTTAGTCAGTAGGTTGTCAAGACCTAGCATCTTTCGGCAGCCAGTGGAAATTATTTTACGGTATAAATAGCATGTAATTGAACATTAAACTAATAAATTAAACTAGATTTTATATTGTGAGTAGTTGAAACTTATCTTTGTCAAGACCTAGAGTCTTTCGGCAGCCAGTGGGAATTATTTTACGGTATAAATAGCATGTAATTGAACATTAAACTAATAAATTAAACTAGATTTTATACTGTGAGTAGTTGAAACAAATGTTGTCAAGACTTCGAGTCTTTAGTCAGCAGGTTGTCAAGACCTAGAGTCTTTCGGCAGCCAGTGGAAATTATTTTACGGTATAAAAAGCATGTAATTGAACATTAAACTAATAAATTAAACTAGATTTTATATTGTGAGCAGTTGAAACTTATGTTTGTCAAGACCTAGAGTCTTTCGGCAGCCAGTGGAAATTATTTTACGGTATAAATAGCATGTAATTGAACATTAAACTAATAAATTAAATTAAACTAGATTTTATATTATATAGTGAGTAGTTGGAATGATTATATAGTGAGTAGTTGGAATTTATGTTTGTCAAGACTCCGAGTCTTTAGTCAGCAGGTTATCAAGACCTAGAGTCTTTCGGCAGCCAGTGGAAATTATTTTACGGTATAAATAGCATGTACTGTAATTGAACATTAAACTAATAAATTAAACTAGATTTTATACTGTGAGTAGTTGAAACTTTAATATTTTAAACATAAAATTATACTGTAAAGCCTTGAACTATTGGGACACCTAAGCATTTGCATAATGTATGTACTACATTAGTTTCAAAATGCATAAAATATGACAAGATATTTTACATAGTATCTGACAATATCACAAACAGTCATGTTTAATCATTGATGTAAATATTCAGCATAAATATTAGTAGCAAATAGGAAAAAACTTTCATATTTCCATTTATTTGTATATAAAATGTGAAACGTAAATAAAATTGTTTAAAATGTTGCTGGGGCAAACCAAATTGTGATGGTTTGTTGCCAGTATGTTGTGTTTACTTTACTTTTTTAATACCCAGACACATTAGTACATCTGTGATCTAATTCTCTGGTCGTATTTTGCTATATACTTTATATAAACTGACATTTCTATTATTTTCATGAATATAATTGACAAAATAGCAACCTTTAATTGTATGACAAAAAAACCGTATACTTTCTCCACATTTCACAGAGTTTGTTTGGTATAAACCCACTGTGGTATAATCTTTGGTTCACTCCGGCTGGAAGCCATTTTGTCTGTATCACGTAGTCCAAATTCTGACGTCAAACACGCGTATTTTGAGGATCGCTCGTGTTTCACGCATGCGTGAAAAGTAAGCCTTTCAAATTTAGAGCTAGGCATTAATGCACCTGAGTTAACAATAAGATTAACAATGTGAAAAAGGAACTAACTATATCATCTAGTTGACAATGACATTCAAAAATCTATTAACACCATGAAACAAGACTTCAGTTGAATAAGTGTATATATGCACATGCTGCGATTTGTCATGTATGATTCGTATTTCGCTGGGGTGAACATCTCAAATATACATGCAATATTAAGTGTGCTATTGATGTTTGAACATTGAACTACTGTTTTTGAAAATGCCAAAAATTAGCATAAATAACCTTATAATTTAATTAGCCAATTTTTTACCAATTTTTCAAACAGTTGTATCTCGCTCAATATTGTATGTAAATTCACTGAAGTGTTATATATAAAAATCTAAGTTAGTCATTTCTGAATGTAATGATCTTTATTTCATTGCGATAGCTTTTATAACTTTAACGTTACATGTAACGAACAGTGTCCAGTTTTTTTGGGACACCGGTAGAAATAATTTTGCCAATGTCAAATACTGAGCCATATAGTCGGTTTCAACCTTTGTAAACTCTAGTGAAATTCATTTTGTACCACGCTGAACATGAATTCAAAATCCTTGTGTACCAGATGTGTTTATTCGTCACTTCATAGCAAAAGTTGGGGAAGAAACTGTGATGTTATTTATAACCAATTCCGTGAAGTACCAAGCACACCGAGCTGTACCATATCGCGAAAAGTGAGGATTTCCTACAAATCATACGATTTAGCAGCCGTAAAGAGAGTTTTGGAGGAGCAGAAAATACTAAAGTTACGAGATACAGTCGCTTTTCGTCACTTTGACGAGATATCATTGCCAACAAAGACGTCCATGAAAGAGAAGATAGAGTGAATGAAGAGTGCTGCCAAAGTTGGATATGCAGAACGGGTCGTGCATACACCCACCTCACACAGTTCTCTTGTAGTCTCAGAAGCCGAGGGACATTCGACAAGAGAGATAGAAATAATATATTGGCCGAAGTTGTACTCCTTTTCGAAAGTGTTTAAATTTCAGCTTCGCTTCTTCGTTCAAAAATGCGAATTACGGTAAAATGGACATTTATACTAGATATTTGTTCAGTTTGTTCAGCCGTTTGGTCCACCACTCTCATTCTATTGTTCTATATTAATTACTATTAGCCTGAGTTCCCTTTCTTTCTATAAAATAACCAGAAGCATACTATAATGCTTTAGGTTATCGTTTGCACATTTACACATAGTTTCATACCATATACTCTATACAAAAGACAAATTAACACTTACCGTTGAAAAGTTTTTGCGTTTTTTCTTAAAGCCTTGTATAGTTACAGGACAAAGACTCCAAAACCTTTTGAAAAAGGTTTTGTAAAGAAAGTTCACTTTTCTATAAATTGTATCATCATAATGAATAACTACATGTAAATATAAAGTTACTACCACAGTAAACGCGTTATCGAAAGAACAATAATAGCATCAAAATGGAAAACCTTGTATTAAATATTTGCCTCCCTTCTCTAAAAGTAAAATTTTAAATATCTTTGAAGTGACTACAATACTAGTAAGACTTATCTGGCAGTCAACCCTAACAAGTGATCAGCCCCGGCAACCCTAGGGCATTTGACTTAACATTACCCCCGTATAAGGCGGGCAACTGACAATTTGACAACTTGCTCAGCAGTTTTCCCCAAAAATATGTGTACATTCCAACGCTTAACAAGTTTTCTCTTTTGCATCTTTTGGATAGTTTAAACAAAAAGAACTGTCTGGCCTATTTTTCGTTCTTTTTAATCTTGAAATACTTGTTAAATTTAATTTTAGCCAAAATTCCAGAACCAGGACTACCCTATAGCAGGGCATTTGACTGTGGTTTCTGCCTGTTTGGGCGGGCATTTGCCCAATTATTTTTTCAAAAGTCAAATTCAGCCGATCACGGTTGGATTTGGCTTGTACATTAGTAAGACAATTTACAAACTCTTGCTGGCATATGATGACGTCATTATGTACGACAAATAGCCGATATATTCTGTGATAGTATTCCAGTTTTGTTTTGAGATCACTGGTCGTTAACAATAAAAAATGGCCAGATGCAGTAACAGTGCGACGCTTGCACAGATTTTTATGGAGCAATTAAAGTTAAACTGGGATGTTTTTCCTGGAAAGCTGAAGCTGACAAGATATCTAAGGTAACTGGTTTTCCCCTTAATCGCTCAGTACAACTTCAGTATAGTTTCTTTGACTTCAACTTTTATCTAAATTAAACATTAACATTTAAACCTGTATCTATATTATTAAATCTGAATGTATGTATATTGTATTATTGTCTAGGCTTAAATATATTAAGTCGGGTCAGAAGGGAGTTTGGAACTTAAGTTAAATCGGATTAAATACAGTGCGCATTTCGTTGCGAAATGTTGTAAAATGTGGATAATATAGCCTTGCAAAATTTGCAATTTTCAGTCATTTTGTATTACAAACAGGAAATTGATGCCCCAACACCTGATTGGGCTGTCAATTTCGTGTGCATAATACAAAATGACTGAAAAACGGCAAACTTCGCAAGGCTATATTATCCGCATTTTACAACAATTTGCAACAAAACTTTGGAATATAACTAATTTTGTGATGCTCTTTCAAGCTGTGATGAAATTTTTGTCTAGATCAAAATTTAGTCTTTTATGCAAATGGTCCATTGTTCATGGCTTTTGGCTGGGTTCAAACTGTAAAATGCAGCTAGTGTTCAAATTTTGGATATGGGACAGTGATGAATTTAAACTGTTTAACCGTTTAATTTTCTCTCAGTGGAAGCTCTTGTGCCAGAAATATGTGCCATATTTTGCTGGCAGGTTATGAAGATGTGCCATCTTTTCTTAACCAGTGGAAGGTGTAGAAAATAGATCTAATTACAAGGTTCTACTTAGTGAAAACTCCTGTGCCATATTTTGCTGGCAGGTTATGAAGATGTGTCATCTTTTCTCAACCAGTGGAAGCTAATGGAACCTTATAACTAAATGTGAATGATGACTTGGTCAAAATTATTTCTACAGTAAGAGCCTATAATTTCGAATAAATATTGCTGTCCACTACGTTCCATAGTCAATGTTGCTGCCCAGCTTGTTTACTGTATAATTAACTCATTAACTGGCAAGCTGTTACAATGTTACCACCCCCTAAAGTGGCAAGCAATATGGCGAATTCATGATTGAATTCCAAGCTTTCACCAAAATGGCAATATCTCAGAAACAATTGCATAAAAAAGTCTGATCTTTTCAACCAAACATGAATGATATATGATTGACCAAATTTAGTTTAGATGACCTTGCATACCTATATATATCATTAGTTTTTTCAGTCAGTATTTTTATTTATAAAGCAGTGACACTTTGTTTTCCATGTCACTCATCACGTAAAGGGGCAATATCTCCATAAATTTATATAAAAACAACAAAAAAAAAATTTACTAAATTAATACATATCTATATTACAACCAATTTTCATCTTTTGGGATATGAATTATGAAATTATCAAAAAATTTAAAAATTACTTCTTTGCTTTTTTGGGGCATCTTGTTTACATGAAATTTATAACAGTAACTAAGTGTTCAAGTTCAACAAAGTGTGCAAGCCAAAACACAGTGTTTGTACATCTTTAAAGTTTTTTGATTGCTTCAAATATATTTAAAAAGACACATAGTGCTTAAAATTATTTATTTTAATATAAACCAAGGATGGGAAGGTGAGAAAATGGGAATTTTCTGAAATGTTTTTAACACAGACAATGACAGCCGACATTTTGAAAGGCACTCTGCGGTGACAAAACTAAAAGCTGTTCACTTCTGTACTCAAAGCACTGGAAAGCATCATAAAGAGAAAAACACTTTAAACACATGCCAGGTAAGACTTTTAGCTCAATATTTTCATGCTTCTATTGGGAAAACAACGGTTTAACTCTTTCTCAACAGGGGCCAATCAATGTTCGTCGATCGCGAGCGATCGACGGCTCGAAATTTCATACTTTTGGTTCAGTGCATGCTATGAAGACAGAAATACCACCATTCGATTCAGAAATAAAATATCAACTAGTTCCAAACGATAGTTATAGTCATTATTAGTATTGTAACGATTTATGGGCCTTTGAAAGTCAAAACGATCATATTGTATCAAATTACGCAACTGTCTGAACAAAAATACAGATTATTATAGACTAGCCATACCTTTCGCCGAAAATAACTTCGGCCCCATCGAACATATCGTCTTTGTAATAGTCTTGTTCGAATCCCCATTAAATAGTGTTTTTGGAGTGTTATTTGCAACCCTGAATCTACAAATCTGTATCTTTTATCAATATATTTCCATTTCTTGTCCGACTGTGAGCTCGAAGTGAATTAATCCCAACCGGAAATACGACTGAAAACCGTCAAAACAATGCGGCGTTTGTATCGTATGACCCTGGAAAGGCCAGAAATGGATTCGCAAGGTCAAATTGCACCTACACGCGTGAGTTTGACGTCATCCCGGCCAAAGGAGCTTCTTATTGGCCAATTATTGCGCAATGTACGCAAGTGCGAGTAAAACCCGACACTTGAAAAATTAAAAATAAATATTTCTAGTCGGCGTATACATACGAAACTTTCTACACGAAAGCGCCTGAATACAGAGAGTATTTTACACGTATAGCCGTTCAGCAAATGACGAAAAGTTCAAGGGGTATTCAAGATTTTGTGGATATGAAATTTAGAATCGTTGGCCAAGCGGTGAGTAAATATATGATTGTTTCGCTTTGTGTAATGTTTTGACGGCACTTGACCCCCCGTTCGAAAGGTTATTTTATGAGGATTTCAATGGTGGCATTTATTTAAAAGGGGGGTAAATACTCGCCGAGATATTTATATTAGAAAAATTGTATCGAAATGTAATACGAAACCGGTTGTCGGGAAAGAGTTAAAAGCCAAAATTATTTTGCGCGCCAATGTAGGCTGCTATAAAATGTCAGACAGGCGGTTTCTTTTGAAGTCTGGCTCTGAAAAACAATCTCCTTTTTTGAGTTTGAAATAAGCCTTCATAAGGACTATTGTGTAGAAATGTTATCTATATCCTCACATGAAAAAGGTAACCTAATTTTCAGGTATTCCACATAGCTATAAAAGGGTGAAATAAGAAATTTCATCTTTGATTGTTTGTCAGACGTGAGAAATCACATTAGTGCCATTTTGTCGCGCGTGCTATTTTATAAAATAAACACCTCAAAACCATAAACCTTTAGTTCAGAAAATTACAAAGTTTCCCATAGACATTATTAAAAATGTTCTAGTGAAGAGATTTCATGAGAAATAAGTGAGCAATGGGCCCAAAAGAACTGCTAAGGTTAGTTTTTGTTAGGACTTCAATTTCATGGCTTCCCACAAAGGAAGCCATTTCAGAGGGAAGCAACATTTTGCAAATCACCGTCGCGACCTATTTTGATAACTTTTCCTTCTGATTCAACGTGTAGTTACTAGAAAATGATGTTGCATCAACATTATTATCTGCTTTATCGATTTAAAGTTTTATAGGGGATATAAAAAACAGTAAAAATGCATTTTGAAAGCTTTACAACTCAAGTGCGGACTTTTTGAATATTCACACGCGGCAGCAAGCGCGTTTATTCAATACACTTATTTTAAACCACAATACGTCTGAAACGAGTTGTCATTAATTTTAACACTAAATTGATGAAAATAGATATAACAGTGATTTTGGAATATCCTACTTATTTAGTATAATTTAATACTCGAAGTATTCTTGCCAAAAAGGTCAAAAAGATCACATACGCACACAGTAAGTGTCGTTTGAAATATACTTTAGCTAAAATAACAACTTGAACAAGAATACCAACAATGGGGTCACGAAAACAGTCAAAATTGCGCCCAAATTTGCATAAACAGTTCGTCTAAAAAGATAACTTTAAACTAGATTCAACCAACATTAATGCGGTCGAATTTTGTGAGTGTTTGATCGCATATTTCTACTCAAAAATACCCTTTAAAAAATCGTATCTGCTCACTTGAGTTCCGTGTTCATCTTTGTTGTGATTTCCGACTTCTATTTTTAATAAATTTTGGAGAAATCCTCATCTTTTTGGCTGAAAATCCCGCGCAAGGTTCACAGAAGAACTTGGCCCAAAACGTCAATACATTCGCTTTCCTTTCATGCCAAATTTTCGTTGTAAATCATTCAAAAACGTCTTCTTTTTTCTCTTTTAAAACTTGCTGTAAAACCATTCTTTGCAACAGTATCGCCATTGTTCATTATTTTTGAAAAACTAAGGTTTTAAACTTGAAAAACTTTGCGAGTTTTTGGCCGATTTTCTTGCATGATACACCGTTGAAAAGCTCGAATTTCGCGTTCTATTTTCGTATCCGTTGCTAGGCAACCCGATAAACACGTGCTCAAATATCATGCCCGCAAGTTGAGGTGTCATTTGAGGGCGTATGCGGGCGCATTGCCAGTTACCCACTTGCCAATCTCACGGCGCATCCGGGCGCATTGCCAGTTAATGAGTTAATAAGAATAAGAAGAAAGAATGTAGACAAGTATAATATTTACAAATAAGGTGGTTATTACAACCTATGCTAACTAGAACTCCTGGTTTCAAGGTATTTAAGCCTTTGTTCAAAACATGAATAAACAAATTTTGACAGTTTAGTTATGATTTCACTATCAGTTGACTTCATTAAGTCAGCTGATAGAGTTTGAGAGTTCAGTTTAATCTCGTTAGATGAGACATTCTCTAAAGAACGTCGGAGGTCTTCACGAGAATGCTCATAGGCTTTGCAAAAGAGTAGGAAATGGGTTTCGTTTTCCACCTCTCCTGAATTACAGATTTCACATAAGCGTTCTTCTCGGGGTGTATTTTGGTATCGCCCGATCTCAATTTGGAGGTTATGGCCTGCTAACTCTAAAACGTGAAAGACATTTTCTCTTGTATGGGTCTTTTATAAGTATTAAGTATTTTTCGAGGTTGTGGTCCGTTTTGAATGTTGAATAGAAAGTTAATTTGGATGAATTTTCAAGTTTATGTTTCCAGAATGTCAAGTATTTTTCCTCAAGGGTTTTAGTAATAGCTTCAATATGTTCAGACGTTACAGCTTCCAGACTAGGGATTTCTTCATTTAGGTTTAAAGTTTTGATTGTATCCATTGCATTTCCGTAAAAGGAAGTTTTCTGCCTAGAGTAGAGATCTTTCGAGATTAAAATGCTTGCTTTGCAATGGCTGTTTCGGGAAGTGAGTTTAAGTGAGTGATGTATTTGAAGACCCTTTTGAATACATTGATAATAAGAGGGAGTTTTCCAAGCTCAGCTCTGGAAGCAATGTTACTTGCTTTCCTACTGACAGCGAGGTATATTTTACAGAACTTAAGATGGACTTTTTCAATTGGTAACTTGTCCCAATTGTTGAAATCGTTTTTCACGTATGTCCCCCATACTTCAGAGTTGTATAGTAGGATCGGGCTTATAATAGAATCAAATATTTTAATGGCATATTTGGGATTGAGGCGGCTGAAGTTGAGCTGTCTTCTTATACCATATAAAGCATGCAAGGCTTTCTCACTTAGTTGCTTTAGAGCTAAAGTGAAATTGCCATTGTGATTTAGTTTGACTCCTAGGTAACAGTATTCCTGTACAATTGCTATGTTCCGATTTCCAACATTAAACTTTGGGCTTGCCTTTCTTGTTTTTCATTTTTCAATAATCATTATTTGTGTTTTCTTCAAATTTATCTCCATGAGCCATTTTTTACTCCAACTATGGAGGTCGTCTAGAGATTTTTGTAGGCCGAATTTTGATAGAGATAATAAAATTAAGTCATCGGCATATAGAAGACAACTCAGTTTAGTTCCATTTGGTAGTATAAACGGATCAGCATCTAGCTGTAGTGTCAAATAATGTTGCCAATTCGATCATATAGATATTAAACTTAATCATTGAGTCGTTGTCCCATATGAATTGGGGTGGAAGCTTATGTGTTTTAGGTTGTTGCGTGTGAGTAGTCTCACTGAGAGGGACATGAGTGGGAGCTCTTTTAATCCATGTCACTAGTTGACGATGGTCAGATAGATAAGTTGGAGGTTTAACAATAAAGTTTTCAATGGATTGGGTTAGTTCTTGGTCACATATTATGTAGTCAACCACACTTGAGCCATTTTTACTGTGTGAAGTGGGTTTACCAAATGAGTCACCAAGGGTCCTACCATTCAGAATTCTTAGGTTGCAACTTTTGCAGATCTCAATCAGATTTTTTCCATGTTTATTAATATAACTATCAAAACTTTCCCTTATTTTTGGTTGGAAAGCGGTTTCAGTAATGTCATTTATGAAGGTATTTCCTTCGCTTGAGACAAAATCTTCAAGTTTGCTGGTACGGGCATTAAAGTCCCCCAGCAGCATAACATTTCCTTTTTTTGAGAAATAAACTATGTCATTTTCAAGGTCATCAAAGATTTCTTCATCATAATAAGATGACCTTTCCGGTGGAATATAGACTCCACAGATGAATAGATCTTTTGTGGAGTCTAGGATTGTGCTGTCTATTCGACACCATAAAGATGTTTTTGTACGTTTTTCAACAGAAATAAAAGTTTCAAGTCCTATTTTGAACAAAAGTGAAATTCCACCAGACAAACGGCAAGCAAAGTTTGACTTGGGTGTTGCCGTGACTGTGGATATTGCCTTGAAACCAGGAATGCTGTTAGTGTCATTTGACCATGTTTCAACAAGAAAGATTAAATCATGATCTTCAATATTTTTTATAAAATCACTATTGCTTAGTTTCTTACCAAGCGTACAATTTTTTAAACCATTTATATTCCAAGTACTTAAAGAAAGCTTAGAATACATTTTCTGTAGTTTTGGAATGATTTGAAATGATTAGAAAAAGATTGGCTGACCTATGATAAAAATCACAAGGCAATATATATATATATATATATATATATTAAGTGTACTGAATACTTAGTTAGAGATCATATAATGATGTTAATGGTTTCTTTTGCGTACTTACAGTTTGTTTATTGAAATAGACTATGGAGAATCTTGATCATCTCGGAGACTTTATGGTTTGCTTCGTTGTCTAGCGGGCGTTTCCAGGTGTTAGGATTGCCATTCCTTGGGAGTGGTGGGAATTGTTGATTGTAGTTGACAGGGTGTGGAACATGGTGATATGGTTGGTGTGGTCGGTGGTTTGGTGTGAACTGTTTATTAGTGGGTGGGTGGAATAAAGGTTTTGGGCTGTAATGCTTTTGTTTGGTGCCAAAATATGCACTTTCGAGGTTTTTGGCAAATATCTTGACTCCTTTATGATTGAGATGTTTCTTGTCATATAGAATTTGGGTGGATTCAAAGAGATTTGTATGTTTCAAAATGGTGGTGTTTGGAAATTCATTTGTAAACTTCTCAAGACGATCATTTAGTGTTTTTGCCTTTTGAAGCAGGTGATCATTACTGGGTAGGAGACTTGACAAGATTAAACGGGCTTGGGGGTGTTTCTGTCTGATGGAGGACAAGAGCGTTTTTGTCTTGTTGTTGATGTTGTCAATAGAGCATCTTTCAATATCATTTGTACCTGTATGGATTATGAATGTCTTGGGATTGCTTAGCCTCCTCCGCAGACATCTCGTTGTTCACATACTTCAGAAAGTCGGTGAGATGCCTGCCAAAACCCGACATGGTTGAGCCGTTCTGCGCATCCTGCTTGCGCAGCGATTTCGTCTCTAGGGTATGCACGTGGGGGAGGATTTGTCATCCAAGATGGCGGGTTGCATGGAGTGAAGAATTGTGAAAATTAGTGAATTTATATTAATACGCTCGCTAAAGGCGGCTAAATGATTAAGAATACAGCTTTTGTGGACAATTGAAAGAATCTTAACCCGGAAATTAAAATTGTCATCAAATAATTTACATGTTGTCAGTTGACATAATATATTTTTGATATCTGTAAATGGATCATGGAAAACATCAAGGTTGACGTATATTTTTGTATAAGCTGTAGATAGAAATAGAAATCTTGTTGTAATCTTTTAAGCACTATAAGGATAGACTTTGTGTTAACATCACAATGAAATGCATTTAATTTCATATAATATTTTTTTGGATCAATTATAGTTGTTTTGTGTTTTAAATAATTGTTAATGTCTAGCTGGCATAATTATTTAAAATAGTACAATTATCATGTACAGTTAGTTCAATCTGTCTGTTCATGGTTGTTAGAAGCAGGACAAAATTACCCTACATATGATGTGTAGAAATGTGAAAAGATAAAATATATTTCAGCTTGATAATTGTGGACCCATTATTAATTGAAATCTCTAGTAATTAACTCTAGTATATCCATATTTAGAGCCAGGCTACGCGAGTTCTATAATGCTAAATTACCATCATATAGTCCTCCTGGCTGCATCTAAGTAAATTTAATATTATATAATATAGTTGTTTGTTTAATCATATACTGGTATTGATAGGGGTAAAGTGTCAATTGGGACTCCAGTCACGTCTATGTTTAGTGTGTTATCTTGTAAGAATGTTGTGTTAGTGTTGCTTGTTTGCTAGTATACATTTTTTTTTGTATATATCTATATAAAGGTGACGAAATTATTAAATTAAATTAAATTAAATTAATTGAAACCAAGGCAAGAGCCAGATTGATTTGAGTGAAAAAGCCTTGGTCTGGTGTTTGGTTGTCAGATTGGCCGAGTATGCCAATCAGTGAAGCAACGCCACTGTCTGAAGTCTAAAATTAGCTGGGTTCACATGCTATATTCACCATCAGGGATGTCGCTACAGGGGTGTAACGTTGGTCAAAGTTGGTCAAAATGGAACTGGTATTTGCTCAAAGTTTGTCAAAATGGAACTGATATTTGCTTAAAATTTAAGGTCAAAGTTGGTAAATTGTGGTTAAATATTGGCAAGCCTTGCTTATTTTGGTCGAAAAATTTATAAATATGCTTATATTAGTCTGGAAAATTTTTTTACCCCCTGTCGACAACATTTCCGGGTTTACGACTTGGTCAAAATTTTATTAAATATTGATCAAAACATGACGACACCCCCCCCCAATGTTGATGCCTTAGCGATGCCCCTGCTTACTATACTATGTCTTGTTTCATGTGTGCACTAGTGTCCAGTACCTGCATGGTGTGAATTGCATTGTACAATCCAGCAGTTAAACAATAACATGGTAGATGATTATAATATTTTTTTAATTTTTTTTAATCCAAATGAAGATGTTGAATTGTCAGGATTTCTATGCAAGAAACTAGGTGCTATTTTGCATGTCTGAGATGGAGACTAAGTTGCTGCATCCTAGAAAGTGTGAACAGCAAGGTTTACATTGTACAATTAGCAGCTTCAAGGCTACAACACATGGACAAGCAACCATTGTCAATGACAACATTGATCAAGCATGTCATAACCTGCCAGATAAAATAGTGACATAATTTAACATGGCCAGCATTTTGTTCTGCTGACACCTTCTTTACAATATAACATGTTTTTAATGGATGAAAATGGGATAAAAAAATAAAAGTAGTGTAAACTGTTGTCTATGCTCACAATTTCCCTGTGACTTATTTTTAAATCACATCGCCTTTTATCAGAAATTGCATTGCAAGTTGCAGATTTACTAGAGAGGGTGCACCCTCCAAGCCCTGACCGGAGAGGGTGAAGGGGGTGCTTTTTTCATGATAAAGCAAAAAATAATAGAGACAAAATGAGATACAGTAATTTGAGCAATAACATGATGATAAGCAAACTGTGAACAACAATTCAAATTCAAATGTAGTATGTTGATGGGCAAGTGGCACACATGACCGACACAACTCTGCACCAGAGCTTCAGTGGCGCCGCCAGCTCGATAATTGGGGGGGGGGGGCGAATATTCATATCTTCTTGTTCTGCATTATTAACTTCTTTTGAAATTGATTGTTTTTATGTTCTGTGAACACAAATATATGAATATTCGCCCACCCCCAATTATCGGGCTGGCGGCACCACTCTGCGCAGAGCAGCCCCCTACCAGATCATGCTGGATCGATCCCTGTATTATTTTATTTAAACATGGAGGTGTAATTCTCTTTTGGTGGCGTAAAGGCATGTTTCTTGACACAAGTGACAATACAAATTTTTAGATGGCTGTTTAAAATTTTAGTTAGCTGGATGGCAGGCTGGTTAATACCATGCAGTAATGCAGTAGAATAATCTTGAGCATAACATCTAACATAATACAGCAACAATATAAATTGTATAACTTTGCTTGATTTATAGTTACTGAATATATAAACACTTGTTACATTTGGTCAACTTGCACAATAGTTGCTTGAAATTTGTGTTACAAGCACAGGTCAGCACTAAGCAGTTTACTCAGCGTTTACATATTTGTTAAATGCTGTACATGTACTCAACAAATCCCCGAGATATTTCTCGCTATGGTAACATACAGCGTAAACATACAGCGTAAAAACACATGGGATTGTAAATTTGAAGTTTGTTCTTCGCTGAAATATCTCAAAATTTGTGTTGACAAACCAGTTTCAATGTCATGCACGTCCACTATACGTGTAACAGTAATCGACAATTCCAAGAGGCAAGAGCATCCATTATCCAGTTGAAATTTTGACATTTACCACTCCATCTGCATTCTACAGTATTCCATTTCCCAAAAGTATTAATATTTGATGTTATATGCATGTAGGATACAGACCAAATATAAATTGAACGGTTGCAAAAATTCTTAAAAATTCCATTCACATTTCATACTTCGTCTTTCGATACGATTTACATAGTTTCGGCGTGGTTTGACCATCTGTATTTCGTTAAATTCCGGCCATCCGTTGTAAGTGCAAAATAATCAATGTTTCATTCATATTTGTTTCAATTTGCAACATAAAAATGATATTCTCGATCGATATTTTTTCGAATTGTGTCTGAATATAAAAAGATCGTATCCTATGGCAGTAGGGGTAACACAGCTTTTGACATTTTGTAGTAGTTTTGATATGAACAATTAGTCCCATGGGGGTGGGGGTAACATAGCCAGTCCACAAGGGTTACATAGCTGGTCCAAAGTCTTCGGGTTTTGGCAGGCATCGCCACTATTAATTTTTTTGCCTGCAAGAAATTTTGCCCGATAATCGAAAGGCGATGCCTGCGGAGGAGGCTAGGGATTGCTAAATTGATGTTGTTCTAGGATTCTATTGGCAGCTTCAATTGTGGGGCATCTCATATACTCGGTGGTTGAGTTTGGACATAATAGCTTTGGATCCAGGTTTTGTCCATTAGAGTCACAAAGGATAATGGTTTCGGCATTACTTGTTTTCATAGGGTTAATGTTTTGGTTGTCATCTTGTAATTTCATGCTTGTATCTGAGCTTTCGTCGGTAAGCACATCGAATTGGTTGTCTATTGGTATGGTAGGTATCAAGGGGGTTTCTGGTGGTACAAAGGGATCAGTATTCTCTGGTATTTCAACTGCCGAGTCTGAAATTATTAATTCAGGTATAGTACATTGAGGGCCCTGTTCTGCAGTAGATGACTTTTTTCCATGTTATTCACTTGTGTTTGGACAGCATTAACTTTTTTGTCTATCTGTTTTTGTTTCTTAGAGATGTTGTTCAGGTCTGTATTATCTTTTTGTAGTAGTTCGTTTATTACTTCAAGGTTGATAATCCTTTTTTCAAGCAGTTCGATTTTCTCGTCTTTCGCCTTTATTTCTTCTTTTAGATCGACTAGTGATATAAGCATATCTTGTTTAAATATGACAAAATTAGATTCTAAGTTTGCCACATTATTTTTGATTGTGTTCATTGATTGTTCACGAGCTGGGCTTGTAACAGGAATACTAGAGCTTTGTTTGGTGACTTTCGTATGTGTTGTTGGCTCTGTTTCTGTTGCTGGTTTCGTTTCTGTTTCTGGCTTCGTTTCTTTTGATTCGTTTCTTGTATCATATTGTTTTTCTGTTGGGGATTGTGAAATAGCATTGATGAATTGTGTGATGTTTTTCGAAGCTATCGTTGATACATCATCGGTACTATTGTCGATTATTTGTTTGATCGTGTCGAATTCATTGTCTCCCCATTTGCGTAAAAAACGACCTTGAATTTGGATTCGACCGGTACTACAGTATATTATTATTGTCACAATGCTTTCTTGTGGTTTCTTTCCTTCTAGATGCAGGGTAAGTGTAATTTTTTCACATTTGTTTGGGTCGTTTTGGGCTTGTTGTTCTTCCCATGTTGATTTCAATGGCCCTTGTTCGCCATGATTATTTTGTTGCACATGGTATCTCTGATAGAATACTTTAATCCAAGTAGTAATCCTCTCTTCAGTTGTCGTAAATGCAACACAGTTTGACGAGGGTCTATAGATTGAATAATCTATCTTTTCAAATGGAACACTGCGTGCTTTTGAGTTCTTGAATTCGTCAAATTGATATTGTGTGGTCGAAGCATTGAAATGGGTCAAAGCCATGTTTACGGTTTTCTTCGATTTTTTTCCTTTCAATTCGCAAGTTACGCCAAGATTTTTCGATATATTGTTCCTCGTATATTTAGCTTGGAAATTTATCAAAGGTCAGCTGTCTTTAACCAAATATTTCTTCTAAAAAATCATTTATTTGCTGTTCAAAAAAATCGACGCGGCAGCCATCTTGAATCAACCACCCCAAATATAAGCCCCCCCAAATATAAGTCGAATATAGGCGCAGTAGCCCACTAGGTTACTCAACATTGACATTGTCTTTTAATATAGCAGAAAACTGTTTTTGAAGAGATGACAATATTTAAAAACGTTGTCATTGTCTTTATAGCCCAATATGTGAATCAAAGCTCGTTGTTAATACATGTTTATTTTCCTGTTTATGACTGACTTGTTTATGTCTGACTTGTTTATTACTAACACAAAAGATCGTCCATGTATAAGCCCCCCCCCCCCCTTATATAAGCCCACCCTTGTATAAGCCCATCAAAAATCGTTTACGAAAGTATATAAGCCCAGGGCTTATAGTCAGAGGTTTACGGTATATGTATTTATTTATTTATATGGTATATAAATATATAGAAAGATAGGGATAAATCATTTGATTTCACTTGTTTGTTCGGTTTGTCCTAAGGGCTCTGCCAGCAAGAGTGTGTGGGTGGGGGGAGGGGAAAGGTCAAAGAGGAACCTGAGCTAGTAAATAATAGGTCATAATGCTGATTAAAAGCACAAGACTCCCCTTTGATGAGTAAAATTTCTGGTGTTAGACAGAGTAGAGTGCATTGAAACTAAATGGGTTACCGTAACACAAAACATTTGATTTCACTTGTTTGTTCGGTTTGTCCTAAGGGCTCTGCCAGCAAGAGTGTGTGGGTGGGTGGGTAGTGTGGGTGGGTGGGTAGTGGGAGGGGAAAGGTCAAAGAGGAACCTGAGCTAGTAAATAATAGGTCATAATGCTGATTAAAAGCGCACGACTCCCCTTTGATGAGTAAAATTTATGGTGTTAGACAGAGTAGAGTGCATTGAAACTAAATGGGTTACCGTAACACAAAATTACACACTGTGCACACTGGATAATTTTCAGTACATGGTTATTAACTATATCTTGAACAAAACAGGAAATCAGGGACACTTGAATTCGCAACCAAAGGTACATTTAACTTGCAATACTGCACACATGACATCCAGTTGACTATAGATTATAAGATTTAACAGTTTAAGAAAATAAATAACAAAACAGAGTCCGATTTATTATTTATTTCGATTAATTTTATTACAAAATCATCATCAGACTAACTGATTACAACAACTACACAGGGTCTTAAACACGTATTGAATTATATCATACCTAAATACGTAGTGAATGAAACAACCAAGCTAACAAGTAGATCAAATTACAAAGCTGCCACCACAAACTACAAAGTGTGGGTGTTAAGCAAAAAGTCCTAAGTATATTCATCATCAGACTAACTGATTACAACAAATACACAGGGTCTTAAACACGTATTGAATTATATCATACCTAAATACGTAGTGAATGAAACAACCAAGCTAACAAGTAGATCAAATTACAAAGCTGCCACCACAAACTACAAAGAGTGGGTGTTAAGCAAAAAGTCCTAAGTATATTGGTGGTCCTCGCAATGTGATCCTCGCAAATAGAACTTGTCAAATGAAAACTTGTCATAGAAAACTTACTCGTCTATAACCGTACGCAAAAACCCCACTGGACATTGTATTATGTGATGTTTTTAATGACCTTTCTTCTCATTGCAACTAAACTAGTAAATAAAAGCCAAACAAATTTGTATCAAATCTATCACGCCTGTGTTTGCAGCAAAAAGAATTTTCCGCCATTTATTTCCGAAAAAGTTGCATGGGTCTGAAATATTATGTTAATAAAACTCTTTATATATGATTCTTACAGATAACTTTATTGCTATTCTAAAGAAATTAATATGTTTTTGTGAATGATTCAAATTTACATTTGAAGAGACTAATGGCCCAGAATTACTAATACAACAGATACCAATACCATGTTGCGACATGATGACTCATCGCTGTGGTTTATATAAGCAATCGATGCCGAGTTTTAGGAATCACTATAAGCTAGAAAACAATGTCAATGGGTCTTTTCAAGATATAGAAGGGGACTTTGTAAATGGTCCTTCTAAATACTGCCCGAAGCTCGCGAGAGCGACCGAGAGTGCCCGGGAGCACGTGAGAGCGCCCGAGAGTATTCCAGATAGTATAAATGAGTGTACAATCCTTTCTGAGCTTCTTTGAGTCGTTTATATTGACAAAAAATAATATTAAAAGTGATTTTCAACCACCTAGTTTAGCAAGACTCTAAGATATAAAATAATTATAGTTTTGTATTTCTTAAAATGGTGGTTTTCAAATTAGCTTGATCTCTTGGGCAGTTGAACATAGGAACAAAAATGCGTTGTAATCCCTGTTGTTTTGACATTCTACATCGACTTATATATGGTGAATGACCACACTCTCCTCCGCAGAGCCTTACAAATTTTTAGTAAAATTGCATAATATTAAGGGGGGGAGGACAAATTATGCAAGGTATGATGGGTCTCACCCCCCCCCCCCCCCCCCCCCCCGCCACTAAATATCTTTTACCATCCCTACAAATGCAATATAATTCAGACTCTGCGGAGGAGAGTGGTGAATGACAATGTTTATATAATTACGGTCGTTTCGGACCCACTCAAAGTCGTTTCACCCCCAATCTCAAGCTTGCTTCTTGGCCAAACAACCCCCAAGGCTACCCCCCCCCCCCCCCCCCCCCCCTCGCCAAAAC